CATACTAACTTCTCAAACCACACATGTTTTTTCATATCTGATTTTTGCAAGTTATACAAATGTCCAAAAGAAAATTTAAACACTTCTTTAACATAACGTTTACGTCCGCATCTCTTTTGTGTTTTCAAAAAAAAAATACATTCCACCTTTATTCAAGGTCCGCCACCTGTCAGTGTCATGCCATACATGTACTTCGATTGGCGTATTAAACGAAAGGAAAAAATGAAGAAAGAAATTTCAAATCAACATAATCATTATCATCATCATGCTGTTTACCATTAAAGATTTGCAAATTTACAGCTGTTTGAAAAAAAGCGATAATGGATTAGAAACGATCATTCCAGCTATAGATGTAACACTCAACCTTCAAGATATGGAATATGTAATAAGTCTGTACACATCTTGTGTAAGAAAGAAACGTGTGCATTATGTGATGCTCAGTTCATTGTCTCCACGCAATTATAAATCCTGAATTATTTCGGAAAAAATCATGAATATGCCTTTTTATAAATATATGTTAATTAAAAATTCCAATTATGCAATGATTTTTTTCTATTTTTTTTTTTTAATAAATCTGCCGACCAGCGTATGTAGGTCATGATGTAATATTGGTAGTTTTTATATTCTATAAGTAAGTTCTAATTGTTTAAAATACATTAATTAACAAATTTCACATTTATAAAAATATCTATTTTTTCTCCTCATAACAATTTCGCGTTTAGTAGGCAAGACTAGATGCCCCTATCAAAAACGAACACTGTTGGACGAAGCTTTCCGCTTTTTTTTGCATTGTGTATTCCATTTTTGTATTTACCGAGCAGTCACGTGGTATTTATAATTTCGGTTGTAATGTTGTATCAGCTTATCCACGGAGATGTTAAAATCATTATTTTATGCTGTTTTCTCCTATCAACCTGGATTTTATAATGGATTTTTCAAAGAGAGGTATTAACACGACATCGCTGGTCATTTAAATGTAAGTAAAATTGATAAATAATGCTATAATCGGAACTTTGATTATTGGCCAGTCAGCATCGGGTAAATCGCTTATGGGAAGTTAGAGGTTACACGGCGCCTATCAAAAGTGTCTCGCCGTGTAAAACCTCTAACATTGTTGGAGTATGACCTCCAAAGTACCTGATATCGATTAGGGAATGGTTTATGTACAAATGTAAAGTATGGTTTCTAATGTGCTTATTAATATTTTTTTCACAAATAAGTAGAAGAATGGGTTTTCCTGTGAATATTGTATTACTATGTGTTTTTAACTGCAGATATTCTTTTCCGTTTTGTTACAAACTAACACTTCTATATTTTGAAATATTCGGTTAATCCACCTTGATAATTTCAACATCTACAAAAAGCGTACTTGAACTAATCCCATAAAATTCCCAATGTTTATTGAATGTCATTAGAAGTATATATTACAGCAATATAAATATGACGAGCTGTCCTGCATTTGCCCATCATACATCAACCATGATGACGAAACATCTGTATTCTTGTAAGTACGGTTACGGATACCTCACTATTGCCTACTGCATGAAACTTATATCATGTTTTGTATATTTTATATACTACGCGTTTCTTTCATGTTGTTTAAATATTTTATCTATTTCATAATAAATTTTATAACGTTTCAACAGAGACGTATATATCCGTCTCTGGTTTCAGTTTGGGCAGGGACTGGTTTGGGAAATGTCACTGTAGGTTTCATTTATCATCTTCCTGAAGAAAAACCTTTTTCACCACCATTATCTCACAAAGATATCAAGACCATAAATACTGGATTGCCCTGTTGTTGTACAATGTTATCTTTTTGCGCATTACTCATCTGCATCATAGCCTATTATGACGACAAAGATTTAAAAAATGAAATTACACTCAGCGGTGAGTTTAAAACGTAATTGATAGAAACAATATTTGCATGAACTATTGATCACAAGATAAAAGGATCTTGATTTCGTTTCTTTTTCATATGTCAGTTATTCCTTTTTCATTTCGGTTCACCGAAGGCTCGATAGCATCAAACATTTTTGGATCCGTTTCATAAATCATGTATGAAATAAAAACTCTTGTAGGATCTTATATAAGAACATTTTTCCATTTTACATCATAGGTCTACCAATTGCAACAATGTTTTTGTGCTCAGGATTGGAGGAGGTCGCATCAACACCAAAAGATTTCCGACTAAGCAGATTGTACATTCGTAGAGCAATCATCTCACTAGGAAGAATAGAGGAACCTTGGGTAACTCTATATATATTTTCAATAACAGAATTTCGAAATATGCCACAGGAATATAAATAGCATATTGTGTTTCATGAAAAATTTTCTCTTAGCGTAAATTTATTGCAATATTACTTTTTGGCAAATTAGCAATTAGATAAATTCGAGTGTTATCACTAATCTTGATATAAATAACAAAATGTGAAATAGAAATTAGCACACTTATCTTTTAACTGGCGATTTCCTGAGATTACTACTTACTAGTTACATCAGATATAAGATGTCTCATTCTGAAATTAAAGAAAAAGTCTTGTACATGGTGTTGATTTTAAAATTATGATACCTATATCCGTTTAACAGCTCAGTTTACTCTATATGCTATAATTGTTGATTTATTTGGTGGTAACATGTTCATGGTTTATCAAAAGCTTATATATTTGGCTGACAGAATGAAACGGACAGTAATTTCCCCCTATAAATGGTATTTTCTTGCAATCTATTTTCGCCATTGTAGTCACCGCTTGAACGCAGCGAAAATTTATTATCCCTTTTTATGATGTATCAGTTACATTTGATAACATTGTTTTCAATCAAATGTAATTTTTCATATATTTTTCCTTTAGCGAAACCTGCATAACTACGCTGGAATCCAAAGTCAGGATGTGGTAAGAGAAAATATTTACGCGTACATCGTAAACTTAAAATCATTAACAAAAATCATAACAATAGATTTTATGACAGAAATCAATTATTTAACGAAAGATGTTTTAATGTATCTAACGATTCTACACTTGTAGAATGCACTTCAACAAAACTCATATGTTTTATTCTCAATTTAAATGTTCAAATATTCAATTGTAAGTTATCTATAATTAATTCTAGCAAAGATATGACGTCGGGTGTGCAGATCTCACCTTGACCGGACTCCCGACAGTTACATGATTTGCAAATTGCCCAGCGGTACACAAATTTCCTGGAAGACACAAATGACTTCGCTGAGAACTGTCCCCAATTTGCCACGAGAAATCACCTTTTATGACGTCTATGCCGTCACCCATCGTATTGAAGTTCTCATCGACCAACTTCTCCTAGTTATGAGAAGCTGCACTGGCCATGTGGTAGAACGGGATATTATTGACTGCTCTTCGATCGGACGATTTGGTGAAATCAATTTCAGTGGACGTGTCGAAAATTATCTTCAAAATACCAAACGTATTTAACACCTACGTAGATCTAAAAGTTTCAGTTTTGTAGAAATTTGTCGGTGTATAACGTATTAATCCTCTCATATTGTGCCTGTTTGATTCATTTGATTTCAAGTTATTGATCATCATTAATTTTCCGAAGCTAATTTATATCGAAATAAGGATTCACTTACTTTACATCGTTATCTCGGATATGTGTAAAAAATAATACTATTTTCTTCACCAAATTATGAAAAAACTTATTTATTGTTTTTATTATTGTTATCAATTCATGTATTTTTCAAGGTTATAATATGGCTGAAAACTTCGGTTCTTTAAAGATAAACTGCATTTAGAATTCTGTAATAGTATTTTGATATTTTTCATGTTCAGTGCATCTATTGGGGACGTCTTTGTTGTTTGTGTCACAACGAGGACAATTTTATTTTGCTATCCTGAATCCTGTGCCAGTTTCCACTATGAATATATGGTTACTTTTTCGAAATACGGTAATATTCTTTATCTAATAGTATCAAAGTATTTTTCACAAATACAATTATTTCTTATATACTCTGTAGATAACTGATACCGAAAAACTACAAAATATAACTATTCCATTTTTGTAAAATTGATCATGTAATATCTGCCTAATTAGTTGTATCCATTGTGAATTGAAATGATCTCAAAAGTGGGAATTCTGTAAACATCAGACCACATCAATCTTAGATATTTTATATGACACTTATGTATAGGACTGTATTTTGGTTGAAATGTCCTATTTCCTTGAACAAGTCAATGTAAAGTCGCAGGGAAAGTTTATTTGCATTTTGTCCTTACATTAAAGGACATGTCTGAGATGGTTATAAAAATACATCTGTCCACGTTTATATGTTTATGTATTAGATAACATTTGCAGTTGAGAAATAAAAATTGTGCAAACAAACATTTAACCTTGATTTCTAATTTGTGATAACCATGGTTACTAAATTTTATAGAAAAATAAACTAGAAATGATAAAATAACACTTATTTCAACCCAAAACTACACTTTCATACAGAAAATTATTTCTGGTCATCTGTCTCATACTTAACAGCACTGTCACATTAACCAATTACTCATGTTTCAGTAAATTCCAACTCGAAATGAATTCAAATTATGACCACATGTGGACACTGTAGATACAGATTCGAGATATCGCAAATAGTGATCTCTAACATATTGCAAAAGTATCATCATGCTGAAAAAAATCCAACCCTTTGACACAAAAAATAATCTTTAGAATGTAGCTTATCGATATGCGTTGTACAAATGCATGATTTCGTAGCTTCAGGTCGATGTTTTTCTCCGGGAGCTCCGGCCTTCCGAACCACCCAAAGCTGGCATGTACTTAAATGACCCTGGCTTTTAATAGGACGAAAAGCACAAGAAGTGTTATCAGATATCTGTGAAATTATTACGCTGACTTTCATGTAATCAATGTTTTGAGCAAATGCGCTGAAATGAACTCATTATTTCTGTATCGAAAATATCCTTTATTTACAGATCTGCAGAATATGACCGAGTTATTCAATTCCTTAGAATTTGCCTCTACACACTACCCAAAAACACTACAACCGAGAATACTATTTTGGCGATGATAGCTAAAAGGAACACTACAAAAAAGAAAAAATCGAAGAAATCAGCAATGTCTTTCCATTTGACAATATATTGATAATCTGCTAGAGCTTGGAATGGTTCTTGTTTGTTAATATAGTCCTCCTGAAGATATGGTCTACTGTTATAATGCGAAGGAATTTCTTCCTGTTGGTACCTATTGTTTCTTATCTCCTTACGAGGAACTGCTCTACCATGAATGCGTCCAAACTTGTTGAATCTGTCGCTATATGGATTTATGTTTTCAGTATTAGACCACACATTTGTAGGCCTTAAGTAGATTTCATCGGTGTACATCTCGGAGAATGTGTCTGGTTCACCAAGGATAGATTGTCTCCCCCTCATTCTTTTGGAACAACATCCTCTGCATGAGAGACATCGGAGCCATCGTGGGACAGTTTCGTCCTCGCCTTTATGATGTAAGCGTAGTACCAGAATTGTACATATAGTTATCATTGTTCCTATCACCAGATCTGCAAGTAAGAGATAGGACATCCTTGGTATGCTTGGCTGACTCGTGCTGGGTAAGCTATCGGCAATAATAGTTAAAAACACAGACATTGCTAGTAATACTGTTATAGAAAATCCAACACGTTCACCTGAATCTGCGGGAAGCAGAAACACCAACACATTTAAAATCCCCAGAACAGTTATCGGCACCAAGATATTAACTATATGAAACATTGGACGACGCTTAAATTCTAATTTAAGTACAAACAATTGAGCTTCAAGAACGTGATCAACGTAAACTTGCGTGCTTTTTAGTTCCCACAAACCACTTGGAGTAAATGCGTCCAGGTCCATTTCATCACACACAGCCTGAAGAAACAGTTCATCGGCTGAATACATCCATGGCGAGAAGATAAACTCGCACCGATGTACATCAAAAGGGTAATAAGTGACGTCAGCAGAACATGTGGTCTGGTACACATCTCCGGGCATCCACTCGATCGTTCCATCAAAAATCACGCGAACATTTAGCCTCTCAAATCCGAGTGGTTCAATCTTATCATAGGGTTTGCCGTTGATTATTTCCGGAATCCATACTTGATTCTGCGGTATTAATAAGGAATGTATACCTTCATGCACATACGGGTTCCATGCCATTTTTGCATCCTTCCACGTTAATGTGAAAATTCCAACTATTGAAAGTTTACTTGCTTTTTCTTCATATTCCTTTATAGACAACAGTAGAAAGGAGGCATTCACTTGTGTCGGCTGTCCGATATCCAAAATCGGACGTACGTTAACATTATAACCAGTTGTTATTTTTTTGTAAAGTCTGCTGAAATCATCAGTATCTTGGCATAAAGTTATTCCGTATAACGTCGATAACAACAAGAATGTTACCTTAAACTCCATCTTACCTCTGGAAAATACCATCAGAATATACTGTATTTTTTGAGGTTGAACAAACCAACCACGTGTGAAGTGAAATGATATTCAAAACTGATTTACATTCACTGGTCTGTAAATACATCTTTTTAAATGTGAGTTTGTTGCGTAGAGTTAATAACTAATCAAATATCGACACGCTCGGTCACTTTCTTCTGAGTATCAAGATATCGTGGTGTTAACTTGCTGATCTTTAAAAATTTATTTGATGAAAAGGGAGAAGTTATTACACCACAACGGATTTTATGAATGGAAAGTATATATACCTACTTTAGTTATGATCGGGTCATTCCGTACAAGTAACAGTACTTCAAAAATCAATTATTTAGTCGCTTTCAAAGTATTGCAATGACCTTTAGTAGATTAACCCTTCAGTAGAAATAATATCAAAAGAGCGCATACTGATTATGACTAGCTTCACACACGTGACTTTTCATGACTTATTCTCAATAGTTTTAACTAAATGTTAAATGTAAACTATGCAGGTGTATCATTTTAAACAGGGTTGTTCTTGACGTAATTTGCTGATCTATCTTGATAGCAATCAATAAAACATTCAAAATACGAAAAAAAAAATACATTTTGTAATATTCTTATTCTCAATACAATATTTCTTTGAAATTTTCACGAAGAAATCGTGGTCTTCAGTTTAGAACTACAATTGCCGTCAATTGTGTTGACATGACCTTCATCAATGCACTCGGTTCTTTCTTTGTAAATGTAAAAATAGGGTTTATCACATAAAAACCTGTTATCAATGGCCGTGTCAGAAATATGATAAAAACATGAAATTGCATTATGGTGACGTCATAAATAAGTCACCTCTTCATGAGGTCACATGACCATTTTGGTTATGCAAAAACGTAAAATCCGAGTTGAAATAAATCTGTCTTATCAGAAGACCATTTTTTATAGATTATTTTTTTCAAAATGTGAGACATGTGATAAACAGAATATCATATTCGTGTCAAATAAATAATTTTATATGTAACGCTAATAGCATCAAATCATTTTGTTCCAATGACAGATTCCATATCATAAGATCCTCCACATTTGATTACCCAACACATACAGCTATTTGGGGTGAAAAAGACTTTAAAAAAATCAGCATCTATGTATTGTTTGAGAAAATACTGTATAGCTTCATTATTTAAAGTATTCAGTTTCGAATTCTCTACTGTACAATTATGTATTTAAATTCTCAGTGAGTGAAATTGAATCTTACGATTTACATAAGAATGACGCCAATCTTAATTACTGCTGTACCAAATAACCAGAATGTGCAGAATATTTTTTATATAAATTTAATTTACAATTTGTATTTAAAATGTGTGACTTCATGGAATACATAACTGTAATATTTACAGTTGTTAACATCAAAATTTAATTTTAACTAATACTTAGTGATAAAATAGTTTCAAATAACTCAAATACTTCACGTTTAATACTGCGTTGTATCTATATGTGTATATTGTAGACCTATTTATTCTTATATTCGTGACATATCTAAATCTATATATACATTTTTACATCATGAAATCAGGGAGTCAAATATATCTGGTATCAATCCTGATAATCTCATTTGCTTATGCAAATACAATAGCGATTTCAGAAACAAATGTATTTTGATTTCAATTTATATGAACATTTACATAAAAATAACTAGTTACATCAAATCTTGATGATCTAGTTACCTTATAACACCATACAAAATTATATAAAAACAGGCATTGATTTTGAGTTAAGGTATATACAATGTATAGTAAAAAGTGCCACTTACAGAAAATCTAAAGGCATTAAATATAAAATTCTGGGGTAAATGTATAACGACTGATTTAAATTGATATGCACTTACCTGTTAAATTGCGATATCCCGATATAGATAATGCAATATCTCACTCACTAATCCGCTTCCGACCTTGTGGCCGAGAGTACGCCGGAAAAAAGACTTGTCCGGTGATCTGGAAACATTCATGTCATCAGTAAAGAAATCAATTTCTAACATGGAAAAGGAAATAAAGGAACTGCGGGACAATAAATGGAAATCAGGAGGTAATATATCACAAAAAAAAATAGTAGCTGGTCAAAGCAAAGTTCTCAGTAAGGTTCAAAATGCTAAAAATGTGGTAAGATAGGGCATTTTAAGAGAGACTGTAGGAACGATAAGACGTCCCAGTTACCGGTGGCTAAAGGTGAACTGTCTACTACAGGGGAAAGTAACAATGCAGATTCTAGCGTTAAGGATAAGAAAGCATCGTCCACCTCGCTGCATGCACAGGGTGTATCCAAGGACAAACCAGTAATCCCTGAACGCGGTTTATTTGTGGATGTAATCGTAAATGGAATCAGCGCTAAAATGCTGTTGGATACCGGAGCCACTGTAAGTCTGATGTCAGAAGACATGTACAAGTGCATTACAGAGAAACAACATGTACCATTGGAGACGGTGTATCAAAACTTTGTGGCTGCAAACGGAGAAAATCTGAAGGTCAAGGGCAAGGGAAAATTTCTTTTCCAGATAGATAAGTAGTTCGCCATGTGTTCAGTTGTAGTGGTAGACATCTCTCTACAAGGGATCCTGGGGCTAGATTTCCTTAAGATAAGAGTGAAAGTGTAGTGGATGTGGTTGGACAGAAGCTGACCATCATTGGTCCGGTGTCCAACAGGAGAATTATTGTCAAACCATGAGTGTGTGGTTGAGTTTTGTGACAAGTTTTTAGCTTCAGGACGAGGTATGGTAGCCAGGACTCTGGTCAAATCAAGTACGACTGTTCCTATCAGGTTATTTAACCCAACTACGGACGTCCAGCGTATATAAAAACATTCATTCGTGGCAACACTAAGTCCTGTTTCAAAAGTGTTGGGTGATGTTGACAGGGATACGGATGAGTAGATTACCTGAATATCTGGATGATCTTTATCAAAGAACAACAGAGCGTCTCACAGAAAAAGAAAAGGAACAAACAAGAGACCTCTTGATAAAATACTCGTCATTGTTTGCTAGTTCAGACAAGGATTTTGGCAGGACCAACGTTAAAAAACATACTATTGACACACATGGTGCAAAACCTGCAAAACAACCACTACTTAACAATCTAACTGTAAAGGATGCCTATCCACTACCAAGAGTGGACGACACATTAGACAGGTTGTCTGGCAGTAAGTGGTTCTCAACTTTTGACCTATTCTCGGAATTTTGGCAGGTAGAGATGGAAGAATCGGACAAGGCAAGGACAGCGTTTGCGACACGGAAGGGGTTGTACCAGTTTAATGTAATGCCCTTCGATTTGTGCAACAGTCTGGCAACCTTTGAAAGATTGATGGATACAGTTTTGAGTGGGCTTGCATGCTACATCTGTTTGGTGTATATTGATGATGTTGTGTTTTTTGGGAAAACATTCCAACAGGCATTGGAAAACCTAGATAAGGTGTTTTCAAGAATCCAAGGTGCTGGGTTAAAACTAAAGGCAAAGAAGTGTCACCTTTTCAAGCACAGTGTTCATTTCTTGGGATATGTGATATCAAAGTGACTGATCCAGACAAAGTGAGGTCAGTGAATGAGTGGCCAATTCCAATAGACGTCACCGGGGTAAGGTCGTTCTGAGGTCTTTGTAGTTTTTACAGACGGTTCATTGAAAGGTTTTCAATGGTAGCTAGGCCCCTCATACAACTCACTGAGAAAGGGACTGAGTGTGTTTGGACAGACGATTGTTAGAGCGCCTTTGATAGTTTGAAGAAGGGTCGGGGTTTTGTCCCAGCATAGATGATGTCGCTAAGTATACAATGTCAGGGAGAAATGTTAGAAAACCTGGCTGGCTCACTGACTTTGTTCTGTAGGGAAAACATAGATAGTATAGGTGATAGTACAGGAGATAGTACAGGTTATTGGTGAACACGAAATCATGTCAATGTTTCTTTGAAAATAATTTGTATAAAAGTATGTTTCTACAGGTGAATGATTTGATCAAGTTCACTGTGTCCACTGTGCTTCACCAGGTACGTAACACAGGAAGCATGGCAAGCGTATTTGCTCGCCTGTGAAGCAGCAACCCGTGAAAAGAAAGAATTTGAATGCCCACTATGTGACTTCGCCACGGCAAAACAAAATCTCCTGAATCGTCATGTTGCACGGAAGCATGGTTCGTCACCGACACTAAGAGATGACACAGGGGAAGGGAGTGATTTGGTCATGGCCGATCCGGGGTCGTTATCCCAATTTACAGGCGGAGTAAGTGATCCTGAGACCAATGACATAGAAGAAGGAAGGACCTACTCTAGGCCCACACGTCCTAACCCGGTACCGGCACTAAAACGACCAAAGCTTAGTAATGCGAGTGAAGGATTTCTGCTAGGGAAAGCACTTGCATCAATGATGTGTTCCATTCCACAAAGCGGCAAGGAGACGTCTGTGAACGACAAGGGTCCAGCTGGTCATGTTTCAGGTTCAGTGCACACTAGTGGTGCTGACGGTGCCAACACGGGTGTTCGAATGGTTGATATATCTACCCAAACAGAAGCTCCACCTCGTAAAAGGACCAACAAGACGATGACCATGAGATATGTGGATGGTGCACTAGTTGTGTCGTCGGAGATATCCGAGTGGGAGGAATTCTAAAGAAAAAAATCTGACAATTTCATCGAGTCATGGAGAAGATGACATTTTTTGTTTCTTTATGTTGGTAAAGTAACCGAGCATAAAGTTTTGAAGCATGAATTAGTTGTTTATGTTGTATTTATATCAGAATAAAGAAATACGGGACGCATTTACCTCGGAGGCGTGGGCAATGTGACAAAAAGGGGTCAATTATTATCCATTTGAATAACCATGGTTCGGTTGAGAAAATGAATAGTACTGGTTCAGTTGAAGACTTACATGTTAGTACTTGCATCAAGCAATTGCAATGCTGCCTTCTGATTGGTTGAATTCTGATTGGCTGATGCTGGGTATATAAAGAGGAGATCCAAGCTCTCCAGCTCGATTCCAGCTCCAGCTTTCGAACAGGCAAGACTAACAACAGCAAAGGATAAATTTGCACATAAAGAGGGCTTCTAACAAGAGAAAACATTCTCTCGTACACAGCACAGGGTACTGACACACAGTACATGGTACTGGAGCACACTATACACCGTATAGGGTGCTGGAACACAGTACGGGGTACTGATACACAGTACATGGTACTGGAGCACATCGTACAGAGTACAGGGTGCTGGAATACAGTACAGGGTATTGGTACACACAGTACAGGGTACTGATACTCAGTACAGGGTGCCGGAACACAGTACAGGGTACTGATACACACTACACAGTACAGGGTCCTGGAGCACAGAACAGGGTACTGGAGCACATGGTACACGGTACAAGGTGCTGGAATACAGTACAGGGTATTGGTACACACAGTACAGGGTACTGATACACAGTACAGGGTGCCGGAACACAGTACAGGGTACTGATACACACTACACAGTACAGGGTACTGGAGCACATGGTACACGGTACAAGGTGCTGGAATACAGTACAGGGTATTGGTACACACAGTACAGGGTACTGATAAACAGTACAGGGTGCCGGAACACAGTACAGGGTACTGATACACACTACACAGTACAGGGTACTGGAGCATATGGTACATTGTACAGGGTGCTGGAATACAGTACATGGTATTGGTACACACAGGTCATGGTGCTGATATACAGTACAGGGTACTGGAGCACATAGTACAGAGTACAGGGTGCCGGAACACAGTACAGGGTATATTTACACAGTACAGGGTACTGATATATAGTACAGGGTACTGGAGCACATCGTGCACCGTACAGGGGGCTGGATCACAGTACAAGGTACACTGTACAGAGTACAGGGGAATGTAGAACAGGGTGTTAACTACATAGCATACGAAGTACGTAGGGAACTAGAGTACTGATACAGGTAGTATCATATTCTGTAGGAGTTACCGAGTTGTTTTATATATGTAATTCTAGTTAGATATAATTGCTAGGTCTACAGGAACCGGGTGTTCTTTGTCATACATGTTTAAGGTACATTGGTTAAGGTAAACCAGCTTTTCTGTATATATTTGCTACTGTAAATACCCCAACCCAGGGAATGACCTGGTAACGAACTCAAACACGTTACAATAGTATAGAAATATTACAGATACATACCAATATTTCTTCTACAAAAGTCTTTGGTCCTTTTATGAATTCGTTTTTCTTCTCTTTTTACTATTATCAATAAGTATCGATATTTTCTATTCGCTATATTGAATTATCAAATCATTCACCTTGCATTTTTCCGTGTGTTTCATTGTAAATATTTTTTTTATTCATATTGTGTCTCAGTGTTATTGAGGTTGGATTATGATTCTGTTCTCGTGTTGATTTGTTTGCTGGGTTCCCATGAACAGTCTGGTTTATTTAGAGGTGGAGTCTATTTTTAGTAGCTGGGGGCTATCTCACTGAACAACATACAGGAGGCCCATCGCATGTGATGCAGAACATTCAGAGTGGGATGTATCTCATATCGGTAGAACATGTTCGCATCAAAATGAAGCACTTTATCTTCAGTTTTCGCAAGTAAATATTCTGTTTTCTAGTCTTCATAAACAACTTCAGAAACATGCAAATAATTATCAAGTGGGTCCCCTGATGATTGTCACTTTCATTAGTTTCCAAATCGAAGAATTGCGTTGTCGTGAAATCATACACACCTGATGACGAGACACTACTAACGGTTTCGGTCTCAACAACGGAGTCAAACATTTTAACAGGTAAGTCCATTGAATAGTACTGTTTACGATTTCCAAGTTGCACAACGCAATTAAGATGATATGAGTTTTTCGCTTGTTCGATAAGTCAACATCTTGCTTTTGCAAATGTTTTTATTAAAAATCCGGATTTCTTCATATTTTTGTTTACAGAAAATCATTATTTAACTTTCATCAACATATTTCGATTACAGATTTCCAAATTTCAAAATATTGATGGTCAAAATCTTTTCCTTTTCCCCCTTGTCGTTTGACGTTTCTGCAAAAAGACGTTATCATTTCAGGATTAGCGTACAGTCGAGCAGGTGCATTTTCTTTTCCGTGTTTGTACGGGGAATCGAACCATCCCGGACGTCCATCATTTTATTACCATCATCTTCATCATCATCATCATCATCATCATCATCATCAGTATTCATCATCTCCTAATAGTTCTTTGATCTAATATGATGCAGCAATCAATTTTGTGGTTTGCTACCTATGTTAGCAGTTCTCAAGAGTTATCTACCCGGAAGTTGATTGTTTTATTGGCAACACAGACGCTTGTTTTGACATGACTGTCATGTTAAATCTTCTCTCTGTGTAAATAACTTCCGTTAATTTTGTTTTAAATATAGTTCCAGTATCAAGCTTGCAGAAAAGTGGTTTGTAATATGCACATTCATATATATATATCGATTGTCTTTTAAAGTTATTTCACCCATCATCTTAAAATCTGCTGAACATTTCTAATATTACTGTACTATACACGAAGCATTTTCTCGAATAAAATAAACATTATATTGTCTATTTTGAAAATTTATGAAATTACTTAATGGTTGTATAGTCTATATATACTGCAGATATCTGAATGTCTTTTGTTTTCCTTCAGGATTTGCAGACATGCATTCCCAGCATGATGGCGGAGACAGTGATAGTGATTGGGACAGTACGTTAGACTTCACGTCCCCGCGTCAAACAGGACCACATCAACCTCCTCCTATGCTAATGACGGAGGAAGAAGACAATGATGACTTCAGTAGGAATGAATCTGTCAGATCCATAGCAGAAAAGCCAAAGCCAAAAGAAAGACTTCCTGTACCATCCAGTAGGTTCATTTTATAACATACGTGTACTTATGTCATTTTGAGAATGGGAAGGGGTAGTCCAAAGATAATCCCTTTTGAGATTTCTCCTTGAGACTCATTCATATTGGACGTGTGACATTGTACCTCGTCAATAAGGGACATTGTCAAACGCCTGATATAAATGAGTTCCATGGAGGAATCCCAAAAGGGATTAGTCAAAATGGATCCACATGTATCCACATCCCCTTTCCTTCTCTCTCTCTCTCTCTTTAAGAGGGGCGGTGAGTTGGTGTCGTGTTGGTGTTGGTAAAAATAGAATGAAACGCAGATAGAAAAAAAAAAACATTTGGACTAGGGTAGACTAATTTAAGTCAGAATTTAAAAAAAGGGGAGGGCCTTTTGTTAATCTCTAAAAAATGTTGGACTTACTCTTCTGCAATAAATTTTGAAAAAGGATGACCTGGATCTTGTCAAAGCTGGCACGATAATGTCGGATAAATGTACTCACCAGCAATTTCTCTGTTTGCTGGGTTTATTGCCTTTTCAACAGCCAGGGTCGTTTTGTGGTAGGATCTCCTTAAAGGAGGGTAAAGGGTTGTTGCCAAGGACACTACCACAACAGCACAGGTCTGTTTCTTGGCATTCTGATAAAACAAACCATGATATATAGGGACATCAAGCATTGAACCATGCTTATTGGATCTTTACCTGAGGAAATATATAGACTAATGCACTAACCAAATGCCTTATCATGGTTCCTCTTCACCCTCTCTTTTGTGTTCTTTTTTTTTTGACAAATGTATACAAGTGTCAGGGCTCTCGATCTGCCAGATTTGGGGCCGATATTCGGCCCATTCCCAATGCAAAATAGTGTCTTTTTTTCCCAATTCAGACCCCAAGTTTTCCCAATTCTAAGGAAAACACCATTATTTTCCCCAATTCTAAGGGCCCTGGGCCCCAGTCCCAAAATGGGGTGTGAGAGCCCTGAGTGTAGTAGGAAGGGTTAATGAAAGATATCCTTGTACACTCTACCATTTGACTAAAAGGAAATTCCCATTACATGGCTTTTTTCTACAGATTTAGGGTTAGGCCTTTTTATTTTATTATTGGGGAAAAATTATCAATTCAGTCAAACGTTTTTAGGAGTAAATAAATATATTTGGAGAATTTGGCCATATTGTGAAATAAATTCAGTTGGGAATGGAGCTCACAGCCTCTCTGGAATAGGTCTGCAACAGTTGGAACTAGTGAGTGCACAGTTGTAAGGGGACATGTACTATCTCCTTCTATACTAGTCCTTCCCTCACAAGTTATTTTACCCCAAAGACAACCAAAATTCAGGCTTGATATCTTAAAGTAAGTAATTATTTCTTTAAAAATTCTATTGTCAACAGCAACAAAAATGTAATTTGAAGGGTAAATAAAAACATGCTCTGCCCCAGTTGGGACTCAAATTAGCTATAACGACACTCTCGAAGTGGACTCTCTATTGCTTGACTAAAGTGCATGAAATTCCCATTACTTCGGACAGCATGATAAGGTGACCTGTACTCTCTGCACAAGATATCTATCTGTCTATCAAAATGTTTTGGGTGTTACAGTGCGGAGAAAATAATACTAGAGATTTTGTGTATGGAAGGGATGCCCTGAGAAAAGTTTACAGGGTATGTGGTCTGGGGGATGAATAAGTTGTACAATTTTTTTTTTTTTTTAATTGTGTGTGATTGGAAAATAAATCCCAACATCTTTGAGAGCCTGAATTGTTGTGATTTTCTATTGATTTTTGTAACAGAGGTCGTTTTTCATCTCAATGCCTCCACTAGGAATCAAACCTGGGACCCTTGGCTTACTAGTCTGACGCTCAACCAATGAAGCTAAAGAGAAGTTCTCTCTAGCCGAATGGTACATTGCGGCTAGTATTTTACCAGGGTTACATTTTTGTATTATCAAGTGATGTACGAAAATATTGACAGAATGTCGGAATCATTAAAACCATCTCTTGGAGAAATTCGAATTTGCAAACCATTTCTAACCATTGAGCTATCTGATCATCTTTGTATAGAAAACACATCTATGCTACAATGAACCAAGACGACCAATCCAAATTCAGATCTAAGAGAATTACCATGGACAGTGATCATATTACATTTATACAGAAACACAAATAGATTCTTATGGCCCTATTAACAGACATGGGTTTATTGCCAGAGAGATGTGGTACTAATATGAGGTGTTTTTATCGTTGTTATATATTTTTTTTTAACCAGTAAACACATTTTCTTTTATTTTTGATGATTTTGTTTTCAGACCAGCCCGTACCTGCCGCCAGAGATGAAGAAGATGCATCAGTTAAAAGCAATCTGTACTCAACACCTCATAAAGTGAAAAATGGGTATAGCACAGCGGTTCTTTCCAAGATTTATTCTTTTATTCATTCTTGAAGTTAATTCAATTATTAAGTTTATATTTTGTTATTGTCTCTTGTTTGAGAGGATTAGGTAACAAAAATAAAATAGATTGATAACTTTTTAAGTGTGTGCTGTAAAGTAGTCACAAAATACTAGAGGTAGACACAGCATGACTTTGGATATCCACAGGATGGAAGGCCTATTGTTTGCAAACAAATTTTCAAAAGAACTATACAGCCAGGATTTATAAACATGGTGGATCAACTTATACTAATTTCACTTTGGTTGATGTCAGTTTCCTGTTAATTGATATCACTTGTATATTTTCTTGAAACACAGATTTGTCCTCTTATACATTCTGTGTAATCCAACTTCTGATAATGCACTTATTTCAATATGAGAAATGCTTTATATCACATCATTTTGGTGACTATCATGACAAAACACAGGTAAATGAGGGAAAGATTTTTATTTGGATTACACATATTTAAAGACAGACATCCTCTTGTGTAACTGATAAATTTGACTGGAAAGCTACCATTCATAGTTCATGTATTTTGTCTGGCTTAGGGAGTCATAAACTTTGAAAATTTTTGCCTTCTTCTGGAAAACTCCTGAACCGATTTCAGTTAAATTTTACAAAAATCTTTCATGGCTAAAGGTGCACTTTAGCTGTAAATCATATCATCCCCAACCCCAGGGTCCTGAGAGGCAAGGCCAAAAAGCATCAAATTGATTGAAACTTCAAAAATATTCAAGTACTCTTTATGGATGGAAAGGCCTTCAGATGCTTTACCAAATTGTAAATTTCATGACTCCAGGGTCTCACATTTCCTCAAAGGAAGGGGGATAAAATTACATTTCTGAGCATAATTTGTCTGTTTTTTTTTCCAGAAATATTTCAAACTTGGATAGAATTTTTTTTTATATTAATATAAGCAGACAGTTTGATGAAATGCACATATTGACCTTGACTGATCCCCAAGGGCTGATAGGTGGCATCAAAAATGGGTCAAATTGACTGAAATTTCAAAGATGTTCTACTGCAGTGAAAATTTTATATAGGAAAACTCAAATTTTGAGTGTTTCTTTTTATTCAAACTTGGTTAGAAGCCTTATCATGGGACAGCAGGTAATGTATACACAAATTGTATTTTCATTATGTGTACAATATAGCTAAAGTTATATTACTGTTTTAATAAAATAATTTCTATGGCATGTTACAAGAAGCATAGTGACTCAAGTGACCGTTTAGGCTCTTGGGCCTCTTGTTTCAACGAGCTGTCAATGGATGGATTGATGGTGTACTCTAATGACCTTTCCTCTCATGCTTTTCAGTAACAGATCAAATCAGGGAACTCCTAAAGGATCTAGATCTGCTCTTGGGGAACGGGATGGAGACCCCCCTCCTTACAATTTCAGAGGAGCTTTGAATGGTAAAATTTAGATTTCAGTATTCTGTTCCTATGAATTGTGATTTAATTCGGGCCATATTTAAGTTATGATAATTATTTTTCCAAAATAATGAATCAACTACTTCATTGAAATCAGGTTTAAATTTTATCAAAAAGCAAAATGTTTAAAAGTACAATTTAATTGTACTGCCGTTGCCACAAGTATTATAAAGTCATAATTTTTGTTCGATTGGATTTTTGTTGATTTTATAGGTATAATAAGCCAAATGTTAAACAGTTTGAAATTGACTTTCAAATTATTTTATTTCCCGAATACTATTTATCCATGAATCAATATTAATTTTTAGGGGAAAAAAATGAAAAGTAAAAAGGTCTCTGCAAAAATATATTATTTACAATATGTATCATCTGTTTGTAATCTTTGTATTTCTCTTGTACAGGTGCTATTACCCCAGACAAAGGGCAGACAACTCAACCACAGCGACATGATAGGAGGGAGAATTTATATGATACTGTAGCAGTTGACAGGGCACCAAGTCCGTCTCCACATCTTGGTGGGAAACATCCAGTGGAAAAACCTTCAGAAAGCGTTAATAGTAAGTAGTACTTATCCTTCCTTCCTTCCTTCCTTCCTCCTTTCCTTCCTTCCTTCCTTCCTTCCTTCTTTCCTTCCTTCCTTCCTTCCTTCCTTCCTCCTTTCCTTCCCTCCCTCCCTCCCTAGAAGTTTCTCTTTTCGCCCTTCCTTCCTTCCTTCCTCCTTTCCTTCCCTCCCTCCCTCCCTAGAAGTTTCTCTTTTCGCCATGGATTTCTCTAAGGTTTACAATACCGAATAACATGTCTATTTTGCTATGTGCTAATTTCAACATTTGATGTAAAAACAAGAATAACTCATTCAACCATGTCATATTTTTTTCTATTGAAGAGCTGGATCATTATCTTTGTACTGTGACTGAAATGTGCCAGTTCCATATTCACTGTGCAAAAATAGTGAAAAATAGACACTGGTGGAAAAAATCTTTGATATGGTTTATCTGTATTAAGTTTTTATTTGTCAAAACAAAGGGTTCTGATACCACAGGTCATGAAGACAATTTTTTCTAATGATAGATTTGTTTTGGAAAATATTTCTATAGATACAGTGCTTGTAGTTGTGCCATTTTGTCACAGGTATGGGATCTTGGGATGATTCCGATCAAGATGAAAGGACTTTGAGAGAACTCCGTGAAAACTTTCGACAGGAAAAACAAAAAGAACAACAGGCTGAAGACTTAAGGCTTAGATTACAGCGAGAAGCTGAACAAGGTAGGTTGACACCAAGTCTTAGAGGGTGACTGGAAAACTTAACTTAGTGTCAAAAGTACATTTAAACTTGCTCAAGTCAGAAATGTGGTTAAATGGTTATAATCTGTATTTAACTGGAAACGGTGGTTTATCTTCTTAGAAAGGAAATTCTTTGCAATGTTCTATGAAGTTGATTTGTCTGGTGGTTCAAATTTTTTAGGGGTAAACAGAGCAGTAATTAAAGAAGGGATATATTTGTGTGCTGCAGAGCTGGCGGACACTTAGGGATCACTTTGTCTGTCATCATGCGTCGTCGGCGTCGTCGTTGTCGTGACCCTTCTTGGCTGAGTTATGCCCCTTTGACATAGAAAATTCTCTGGGAATATCATTTTCTTGACTTTCTTTGGTTATACTTCTCAAGTTAAAGAAATGAAATTTGGTATTACAATTTTATGGTTGATCGTTGCACATCCAGTTCAATTTCTGGGTGACCGTGACACTTTATGCAGGCGACACATACAGTTCTGAGAAACTCTTATTTTGACAAAGTTATGGATTATTTCTTTGTCATGTCCGTTGGAATTACTAATAATGGGTTTTCCATAATTTTGTTAGTAGTAGGCTGTGTAGTGAAAGTAGGAGGCTGGTCTGCCGTGTACGTGTAGTCGTGTACGGAACATTATTACGGAACTGGATTGGTGTAGGCGGCCAAATGATCAAAGTAGCCAATCAAATTGGCCAGCGACCGGCTTTTATGGAAAACCCTGGGTCAGGTACCTTGGGTTTGTTAATATTGGTGATTTTGTTTATCCTTGAATGACATGAAATATTTACTTATAAATAAAATGTAGATAAAACGTTTTACAATATTTTATTGGAAGTTGATTTATCTCAAAGTAAGGAACTGATACATATTAAAGGTATTGATTAGTTGCCTAAAACCAACTACACATATATTTCTACTAAAAATTTGGTAGTCAGGTAGCGCAATGGTAACACATTCACCTTTCAACTAGCCATTCAGAGTTTGATTCACGGAATGGATGTGACAAGGTATGGGGTCACCTGCCTGATACCTTGGCTTTTCCCCAGGTACTTCTGTTTTCCCTCATATTAAGATCCGGCTCCAAATCCCCCTTTCCCCCATCCACCCACCAATATGCAAAATAAGTGATTAATATAAACTGATAGCTTGTTTTGCAATTGTTGCAAAATAAATGAAGTACATTTTAAAAATTGCATGAAGTGTACAGCTTATAAAAGGATGAACATCCTTGGGAGTTGTGATAGATAAATCTATCCCTTAAAATTTGAAATTTATTTATCCTTCAGCTTTCTGTCTTCCCTGGCCTCTAAAAATAATTTCTGTGATATTTTCAGCTGGCTTAAAATCTAAATTTGAAATTCATTCAGAAACAAATATATATATGTGATTCATTTTTGTATAGCTTTAGCAACATCCACAGAAAAACCAGACGAGGGTCAGATGACTAACAGATCAGAGGCAACATGGAAAAGCTGGGCAAGCGGAGGACGTGGCCGAAAGAAGGATTCAGCAGCTGGTCGGAATAAAGCGAGGAAGTCGGTATGTCTTAGAAACTCATGGTAAAACCTGCCAGTGTTGATTGTCGGCAAAAGTAACAAAGCTATCAACTCTGAACTGGCTATTTTTTACCAGGTATAAAAATTGATACTAAAACAAGTATATATTAGCTGGCTATCTCCTAATACCAACCACGTGCTTCATATCCTACTGAGAACACTGCCTGCACAAAAAAATAATTTGTATGCAATATTTTCAAGATGAAGGATTATGGGTAGTCTTTCGATGAATCTGGTGACAAAATTGAAATTGTCTTTTGGCCAACAGTTCAGCAAGGGGTTTTTATTGTCTTTTTGATGGCAGAGATTATAACAGTTTTATTAATAGCTTGAAGAAGAAATGTTTTATTTCTTTAGGAATTCATGAAATGTACGACAACGTTTTTCTCAGAAATTTTCATTTTTAAAGCATTTTGTTTTGGTAATTTTATTCAGTCCTGAAAATGAGCAAAATCTCAAAAATCCTGGAAAAAGTGTAACCATGACAACAAAAGTCACATGTTGTTGTCTTTGACTTTCAGGCATATTGATATGATGTCTCTATATTTTACTTAATAGACATTTCAGTGTACTCTTATCAATTTAATTTGATCTTGTGGTAAACTGCAGCATCCATCCATCCATCCATCCATCCATCCATCCGTCCATCTGTCCATCCACCAATTTTTTTCAGACAAATCATGATATTAGTTATAAACCTATTACACGATTTTAACCAAATTTAGTCAGAAGCACCTCTAGGGAAGTGGAACAACTTTTGTATAAATGGAAGGTCTCTGCCCCCTGAGGTGAAATGGACGGTGCCCAAAAGGGGTCATAGAGCAGATTATATAGAATCATACTCCTCCTGTAGAAATAACTGCATTTTGTCCAAGTTTAGTTGGAAACATTTTATTTGAAGAGGGAATCAGTTTTATGTAAACGGTGTGTCTGGGCCCCCTGGGGCAGAGGGGTGAGGCAATATGGGAAATAGAAAAAAATCTTTAAAATCCTACTGCTCTTGTAGGAATGAGTGGATATTTTCCAAATGTAGTCGGAAGTATCCTGGGGTGGAGTGGAATCAGTTTTGGTATAAATGGTCTCTGCCCTCTGGAGCAGGAGAGGTAGGGTCCAATAGGGATAAAACAGCAAATTTTTAAAAATCAAAATGCTCCTATAGGAATTAATTGATTTTGCCCAAATTAGGTCTGAAATGTACTCTCTTGGTGAGAAGGATGTGCCCTCTTTTGTTGATTAACATCTTTCAAATAAGAGCTTTTGGATTTACTAGGAGCCAGTTACAGCTGTGCCAAGGGAACACAGAATCCCGTTGAAAGCAGAAACACCTCGTTCCCACCGTGATGTGTCACTAGCCATAGGTCAAGGTCAGGTCATAGAGCCACAAGTTGTACACGGAAAGCCTGAGGGGGAGACGAGAATTGAGGTAGCATCACCCAGTAAAGACTTGGCAATGGAAACACCAGCATACATCGACCCACCTTTCATTGTTAAAGATGATGATGGAAGGTAAGACAGCCAACATAGTTGGGGGTGTGGTAGTGGGGGAGGGGGATTGATATGTGGGTTTGACAGGATATAGCATGAAAGAAGCAATAGGGGTTTAGCATTTTCAAGGCTTTTTCCCAAGTATGAATGAAGGAATTTTGACCTCATGTGACATGGAATGTTTCAATTTTATTACTTATACACAAAAGCTTATTCTTCTGTTTTGATGAAAGAATGAAAGGATTTTAATTTGATAAATCATGTGTCATATAGATTCATAGATGTATATGGCAATAAGCCCAAATCTTGATTGATGTTACTTATTCATAAAATGATGTACAAATGATACCTGTATCTCTATGTTCAGTTATAAATACAGAAATGCAGTGGGGCCCCCAAATGTGGAATTCTCAGCTGCTCAATTTAATCCAGTATTTGTGTTAGTTTGTGTCTTGATGTGATGTACATGTATTTTGTTGTGTCAACCACTACAATAAAATCAAAGAATTTAATATTATCACCAAGTACTAGGGATCATTTGTCAAAGAGGTTTTACTGTTATCTGAACAAGGGGGACCAATAGGGAAATTTTGATACTAAAACATTTTCAATTCACCTTCCATTTCTAATGTTAAAGAAAGTTGCTGAAGATAGTTAATTCATGTCTTTTGAATTAAGTTTTGTTTTATTACTTTGAATTGTGTCTTATTTATCCATATTTCTACATTTTCATGCTCCCAGAAGGGGGAGCATATATTCACGGCTTGTCTGTCTGTCTGTCCATCGTCATAATTTTGTCCAGAGCATTACTCTAAAACTATGTAAGATATCAACATTAAACTTCATATGTAGATAGATCTTAACAAGGAGAAGACCAGTGCACAAAAATTATCACTTTTTTTGGTATAATTTAGGAGTTATTAATCTTTTTATTTTTCACAGTTAAATTTTCTCTGGAGCAAATACTCTTAAACTGTAAGAGGTATTAACATGAAACTTCCGAGGTAGATAGGTCTCAGTGCGCAGGAGGGCAGTGCACAAAAATCATAACTCTCTTATTGCCCTTTGTTAATTTTCATACTCAAATTTTGTCCCAAATGGGGAGCATAATCCATCGCTGACGGCCCTTGTTCTCAATGTCATCAAATCAATTATAGCCAAACCTATTATGATTAATGATCTGCATCTATGGTCTATTTATTTATTTATTTATTTATTTATTTCTTGCTGATTTTCTGAACCCTACCAGCAAGAGCTCTACATTTACTCTTGATGTATTTTGCAGGAGTGTATATTACTTTGGACATGGCAGTCTGCAGTATTACGAAGTAGAAGACGATGCAAATGAGGCTTTCATGCCAAGAATTGCCGAAAAGTGAGTTTTTTTATGTAGTTATTTGATAAAAGTCTTATTTTATATTTTCTTCAGTCTACTGGGTCATGGGTTCAATAGTTGAAGGCTAATCTTATCATTTATTCTGAGAAAACAATAGCAGTTAAAAATTTTTTTTTTCATAAATACATCAAAATTTAATGATGCAATTAATTTGTTATTGATATGTCAATCTTTAAAGGGTCTAAATGGTAAGAATTCATTATTAACAGGGCTCTCACACCCCATTTTGGGACTGGGGCCCCGGGGCCCTTAGAATCGGGAAAAATAACAGCGTTTTCCTAAGAATTGGGAAAATTTGGGGCCTAAATTGGGAAAAAAAGATACTATTTTGCATTGGGAATGGGGCCGAATATTGGCCCCAAATCTGGCAGATCGAGAGCCCTGATTAATCCCCATGCATTTGATTTCAGGCAAGCATTGTAAATACTTAAAATTAGACTCTTCACACTCTCTTAGAGAAATTGATGAAGCTTATCAGCTTTAAACTAATGCTAGTCAACACTCGCTGTTGTGTCTATCACCTATCTCTGCTTTGATTGGAGATAGCCGAGTTCACCTCGTGACCTTTCGATGCCTCATTTTAACCCGCTATTTTGATATGATTTCCTACTATGTATAATTATGTAATTAGCCAAAACTTAATTTGGCAGCCATGTTTTAATTCTTACTTTGTAAAATGACCTCTTGCTTCATGCTGTAAGCTTGACAGAGTGAAATAGATGAATTTGAATTAATCTTGATATAAAATTACATGTGCAAAGACATTGTTGACACTTTCCAAACGAAAATATGAATTAGTGTTTGGTCACTTCTAATTTTAATTTTTTTGACATTGTTGATAAATGGTTATGCAAATTTTTAGATTTCATAATTAACAGAGAGTACACAATTTATAACAGATATTTAAATGAAATAATGCTTTCTATCAGTTATGAAATGAATATCTAACCATTTAGTCCCTTTAATGTAAAACAAATACAGTATTGTTTGTGAGGCTTCAAATTATCAAAGACACCAATAGTATTAACATGATGCAGTTGATGAAATGTTTAAGGGTTTGTTCTCAGTATCATGATTTACATGCATCCTGTCAGCAACTGACAGACAAACTCACAACACGGGGACTTTGAGGAAGTTTTATGGTCGTCATTATAATTTCATCAAGAAATATTCTATTTCTCTGTGCGATATGGATTTGGACATATTTGATTCTCATTTGTATCCGTTGTGGTTCTGTTGTTGTCTACCTTGTTCTCACTTGGATAAACCAACATGGCAGATGTTGTCTACGAAGCAGAAGGCACTCACCATCATGGAACACCTGGTCTTATTCTACTTGTACAATTTTTATGGAATTGAGTTTGAAATATGATTCAAACATCAATTTTTTCATTGTTGTCTAAGATCTGTTTATTTTATTTGAAAATTTTGCTGTTTCATTGAAGACAAAACAGTCTTAAAAATCATAGATCAGAAATCATTATTATATTTGTAATAATTTTTCAACTGAAAAAAACTTTGGTTTTTGATTTTAATAAAAAAATTACTTTGCAGATTCAAATTTTTAAACATCTGATTTTACTATAGTTTTTCTCATTTTTATTTCAGAGCTGAAATGGTTTTACAACGGGTTTATCAGGAATTTTTTGGATTACTGCGTATCATTACAAGTGTTGTGATTTTGTTGATTATAGAACTTTTAAAATACATAATAAAGTACATCATACAGCCACTGATTGTAGGAGTATTTGGTACAGTTGGGGATTATGTAGCTAAACCTCTTTTCACGTTGGCCTTCAATGGCTTTGTGCATCCGTTTGGAGTATTCATGTGGAACTGTTTCATGACTTTGCGTCACATGTTCAGCCCAATCAGCGAGATTCTGAAAAAAGTTTTTGTGCAACTAGCAATGCTGTGTCGTTCAATACGCTGTGTGGAGATTCATTGGAAAACAAATCGCTCGGAAGAAAAGATTACAGACCTAACCCAAGTATAGTACAGCTTTATCTGTATAGTCTAGCCTTTAATGCTTTTAGAAATAGTGTTACATATTTTTTTCAAATAACATTAATCTTGGTAATTTTTTTTTACAAGGTTTTACTTACTTCATAAAAATGTGTTTTTTCCTTTACTTTTGCATACAATTTGTACAAAAGTTTATTTGTTGCTTTATTAATTCAATATATAGTTTTATTTTGGCATATTTTATTTATGTACATAAATGCTCTCTTCAAATCCACTAATGGAAGTGAGACTAAGAAATTCCCAATGCAACGAATACTTTCTGTAAGTCACTAACTTTTCCATATTTTCAATTTTATGGGTACATCATTAAAAAATTCACAAGGATCAGAATTCTGGAAATTCGTACTAATCATATTTGGTTTGGTTTTAATTGAATGTTGTCAATTTTTAAAATTCATGATTTTATCCCTAATGAAAGTCTCTTACCTCCTTAATTTAGTGGTGAAATGAAAAAAAAATTAAAATGTGAATATAATACCATACAATTCGTTATCAGCTGCATAATGCACATCTTTATATACAGAATCTGTATACCTCATAATGGAAAGTGTTATATAGAAGGTAATTGATTTCTCTGGATTTGTTGTAGTGAGGGTCAAACATCTTTGAATCTTGAATTATTGTTTTAGTGGATCTCAAACAGAATCACTTAATATTGTTCCGAAGCAAAGTTTGAAAAACAATGATTTAATCAGAATTAGTTTGATATTTCATTTATTTACTGATCATACATTATAAAGTTATGTAGTATTTTGAAGGGGTTCCACTCTCTCTCTCTCTCTCTCTCTCTCTCTACACACTTTGAAGGAGAGAATGAAATTGCAATTTAAAAAATGAACCTTTAAAGCAGCTTTTACAATTAAATTAGAAAAATCTCATTTTTTCTAGTATTTGTTGCCATTGTTCCTCCTTCAGGTTGTCATTTAAGTTGTCATTGTTTTGTGTGTAAGTTGTCATTGTTTTATGTTTAAGTTGTCATTGTTTTGTGTGTAAGTTGTCATTGTTTTATGTTTAAGTTGTCATTGTTTTATGTTTAAGTTGTCATTGTTTTGTGTGTAAGTTGTCATTGTTTTATGTTTAAGTTGTCATTGTTTTATGTTTAAGTTGTCATTGTTTCATGTTTAAGTTGTCATTGTTTCATGTTAAGGTTGTCATTGTTTTGTGTGTAAGTTGTCATTGTTTTATGTTTAAGTTGTCATTGTTTTGTGTGTAAGTTGTCATTGTTTTATGTTTAAGTTGTCATTGTTTTGTTGTCATTGTTTTGTGTGTAAGTTGTCATTGTTTTATGTTTAAGTTGTCATTGTTTTGTGTGTAAGTTGTCATTGTTTTATGTTTAAGTTGACATTGTTACATGTTTAATTTGTCATTGTTTTGTGTGTAAGTTGTCATTGTTTTAAGTTGTCATTGTTTGTTTCATGTTTAAGTTGTCATTGTTTTGTGTGTTTTTATGTTTAAGTTGTCATTGTTTTATGTTTAAGTTGTCATTGTTTTATGTTTAATTAGTCATTGTTTTATGTTTAAGTTATCATTGTTACATGTTTAAGTTGTCATTGTTACATGTTTAAGTTGTCATTGTTTTATGTTTAAGTTGTCATTGTTTCATGTTAAGGTTGTCATTGTTTTGTGTGTAAGTTGTCATTGTTTTATGTTTAAGTTGTCATTGTTTTGTGTGTAAGTTGTCATTGTTTTATGTTAACATTATCATTATTTTGTTATGTTATTGAAAAGTTACATATCAAACGTATTTGTGATGTTTGAAGTGTATTACCAACTATGTATCTATGTAATATATATATATCAAAACTTTGATAATCCTTAGCAATACAGATACACCTAGCTGTATAAAAACTATAAACTCTATGCAATAATTGTCCTGTTAGAATTTCATCATCAGCTGATAATATACACTTTGCAATATTGGCACTCGTATACCAGCTGGTTCAATTGCTGTTTAACCTGGTTCTCATTTTGGAACATGACATTTCTTACTCTGGTCGAGATTAACAAAACGGTCTGGTGTCGTTAATAAAGCTGTAGACTCTTACACTTTCTAAAAACCATATCTTCTCCTGTACCTTTTTCAGGGTCTGTGTGTAAATCTTTTTCATATTCATGTTTTCCCTCAGTTTCATTTAATTTAAGTCTGATTTCCGATTCTGTTAATGTGTTAGTATCATCTTGTTGTTTTAGAAAATGATGTCTAAATGTGCAGGAAACAATTGTTATATTGCTACAAAATGTCAGTAAAAATATCAATTTTCCTATTATTTGCCAGTAAATCTTTGTTATCAGGCCATCATTCATTAGAAAGTTTCAAACTGTCAATTAATTCATAATACCTTCAACCAAAACTTTACATAATACCGTGATTTTATGTTTGATGTGTTTTTATGAGTTTTTTTATCAATAGCAATATCATATTGTTGGATTTTATATGTGTATTCACCTGTGTCAATCTATCCGTTCAGATTTTATTTTCTTGTAATAATTCAAATTTTTGTATACAACTATCAAAGTTAAAAGGAAATATTTTTAAATTGTTCACCAGCTGTGACCGAACGGCCTGACCGTTTTTATCAGTAGCTCTCCGCCTCTGGGTCAAAGCATTGAGGCTTACATGGGGCAGTTACCAGGTACTGGTTTTTCGGTGCGAACTCTGACTTTCCTCCACAGTCGAAACCTGGCATGTCCTTAAATGACTGGTTGTGAATAGAATGTAAAGAATCAATGAACAACTATACAAAGACCTTGATTATTCCTGATATTAGGTGATGTTTGAAGTCATGCCTATTCCTTCTGAACTTTAAATATCCTATTCTTGTTAATACTAGATTAATTCACCTTTAATGGACAATTTTGAGAGGCTGTTTTTTATGTTTTTATTATTTTTTTTTTTTAACGTTGTGTTAATGGGTGAATATTGATGTTTCAACCATAGGTTTTCATCTCCCTGTTTCCCTGTTTTTAGGAAACAAACATTTGTGACTAATCCATGGGTTATCTCCCATTAACTCAGAAATGCAAGGATGAAAGCTTAGTGGAGAGATTTTGAAAAAGAAAAAAATTACTCAATATCTATTTGTTTTACAACGTCCCTATTTGCAATAGAAATTTGCCTAGCAACACAGCAAATGGAGACTCTAAATCATAAGGATCAATTTTCATACTTTGTTGTTTATGGAATCTCATTTATCAAACTTTGTATAGACATGTTGAATTCCTAATCAAAAATTATTCCAGATATTGACTACATGTACATTGTTAAACTTTGCACTAAATCCGTCCTTTTAATTGTTGAAAAAGACAACACTCTTTACCATGTGCTTGATGACCATTTTGATGAACAGATGTTTATGAAACTTATTCATGTTGTTTATTTCAAATTATTAGCATATAGCATAAATGATGCTATAACCCTTATCAAATTTGTATGAAATATTTGACTTTAATTCATCAGTTTACTATGACACTTCAGTAGACTGTATAAAACTTACTGTTTGCTGTATGTATAACATTTTATATCAATTAAGATATTTTGTGAATGAAAATTGCCTTATATCTGCAATATTCAAGATAAATTATTCAACATTATAAATTCATATATGCAACACCTTGATTTTGTATATGTTGTGTAAATGCCACCTTTATAATACTTGTTTTTGATTTTTGAAATCATGATAATGACTGATATAATTTATGAATTCATATATACAACACCTATATATATATTATATATGTAACAGACGCCTTCATTGGTCGAAGTAGCCTAAATATAATGCAATATATATATATATATTGTACCATATACTTGTGTAACTTTATATGTATTTATCAGATAGTTTACAGGTACATAGATTATAAATATATATAATACAAATATAAAATTGTTGCTGTATTCTTTGTGTATATCTACCAAACCTATTGATAAAGAACTACATAGGACTTTAGACTATATAAACCTACATACCTATTGATGAAGAACTACCTAGAACTTTAGACTATATAAACCTATTGATAAAGAACTACATAGGACTTTAGACTATATAAACCTACATACCTGTTGATAAAGAACTACCTAGAACTATAGACTATATAAACCTAATTACCTGTTGATAAAGAACTATGTAGGACTTTAGACTATATAAACCTACATACCTATTGATAAAGAACTACATAGGACTTTAGACTATATAAACCTATTGATAAAGAACTACCTAGGACTTTAGACTATATAAACCTATTGATAAAGAACTACCTAGGACTTTAGACTATATAAACCTATTGATAAAGAATTACATAGGACTTTAGACTATATAAACCTACATACCTATTGAGAAAGAACTACCTAGGACTTTAGACTATATAAACCTACATACCTATTGAGAAAGAACTACCTAGGACTATAGACTATATAAACCTACATACCTATTGATAAAGAACTACCTAGGACTATAGACTATATAAACCTACATACCTATTGATGAAGAACTACCTAGAACTTTAGACTATATAAACCTACATACCTACTGATAAAGAACTACCTAGGACTAAAGACTATATAAACCTATTGATAAAGAACTACCTAGGACTAAAGACTATATAAACATACATACCTATTGATAAAGAACTACCTAGGACTAAAGACTATATAAACCTACATACCTATTGAAAAGGAGCTATGTAGGACTGTAGACTGAAAAATCATTCGATTGCTAACTTTTGGTAAAGTTGCGAAAATGTAATAGAAAAACAGTAACAGAATATGAGAAAAAACTTTCCACTTTAAATGTTAATAAATCGTGTTATCTATATGTTTGTTAATTGTGTCAGGTATTCCCGATGTAAATTTTGAGGTCAGCATGCTACAGTTACTCAGGAAGGAAAGATAATGAATCATTTATGTTATTTACTGTAGTTATGTATGTGTTTTACTCCTCAATGTTTACGATTGCCTTCTCTTTGCTCATAATTTAACATTTGTCTTCTGGTGCAAAGTTGTGTATCTTCATAATAAAATGAAAACACACTTTATATGATGTGTAAATGATGTGAAATTTTGTTTTTATTCAGTAAGAATAGTACATGCCTCATCAAAACACCACTCAGACACTTGGGTATATGTTGTAATTTGGGATGACATCAATTTGGTTTTGACCTATTTGTGTTTAACTATGTGGCCGAGATTTATGAGGAAACAATGTTATTACCCCAATGGAGTTTTCTCCAGAGAATTGTGTTAAAATTTAAACTTTTATTCAAAACTCAACAATAGTTTTAGATACATGTCTTGAAAAATAGCTTAAGAACATCTAAAATTACAGGATTCATTTTCAACTCGGGTTTCTTTTATACACTATAAAGGGATCTTCCTGTAATTTTCAACTCGGGTTTCTTTTATACACTATAAAGGGATCTTCCTGTAATTTTCAACTCGGGTTTCTTTCATACACTATGAAGGGATCTTAGTAATATATTTCCAAAGAAATGTTTTTATGCTAAATTATAGATATCAGTGAATTAAACAAAAAATGATATACTTCATTAATTTGCTATTGTTTAAATTTCTTTACTCTTGAATCAAATGTGTGATATGTTTGAGCAAATCAAACGATTTGGCAGCTGTTGTGATTTTTTAACAGTGTCTGATATTTTGTTTATTTTGTATGTTATTTTCATGTTATACAGCTTCATAAATTTTTCCAATTCTGCGAAATAAATTTTCCGCCCTGATGAATAGTTACATGTTGTGCTGTTTTTTCAACGCATTGCATACAGTCTGTGATCCTTAACTGGAACAACCGGACTGGACATTTTTGTTGATACTCCTTGTGTTTCCCATCAACTTCGTCGCGAACTTTGTTTGCTAGTATTTGAAATAACTGAGCTTGACTACGTCAGCCGGAAATTTGTTTTATATAATGAACCAGTGCTCGTTGCTTAGTATAGGAAACACTCTATCATTTAAAACGTTTCTGAGATGCAGACGGACGAAGAGGATAGGGAAGTTAAGATGCCAGCGTTACCAAAATTTTGGGAAATGTCTTCGTTTCTTTTGATGCTCGTTTCTACCTGTATGCCTGGTGATTTCATTGTTATTAGTGTATAGTACTATAAGAAAATAACATTATTTAAAACTTTAAATTTCCTTTGTAGGACGCCCGATCTCGTACTTTATCAAGGACGCCCCTATTCATTGTTGACCTTTCCTTCGGTCATATTTCCCCCTCGTTTCATTTCAGATTTCGAAGGCAGGTTTTGTTTTCAGGTTGATAATCTTACTGTACGTTGTTTGTGTTGAAAATTGCGATAAACTTTACATATTCATATTAAGAAACTACCACCCAGTCGACCAGCTTTTGTTTTCGAACGTTGGTGAACTTCACGAAGACTTTTTCTGAACAGGTAACACAGACCATGTTAAACCCTGACTTACAAGACGATGATTAGTCCTAAAATCATATTGTTGACAATTTTATTCTGTGATACGTCATACCTCTCCAGTTATTTGCCGATATCAATTCTTACTTATAACGTTACAAACAGAGGAAATTTACCACTACGTTTTGTGATGGGTATGATGGCTTCAGTTTCCGATTTCTGAATAGTAACATCGCTGCTACACCAATCTAGTTTCAATCTGTCGCTATTGATTCAACATTCAAAGGCTTGATCTTAATTCCTCCTTTGATGGGCAATGTTGAAGAAAAGACAATATGTACGATATTAAGTTAGACGTTTATTTACATTGTTCCTGATGTTGCTATGTTTTGAGAGCGTGACATTACGTGGGTTTTCACATGACAAGAATCGTTAGTGTCTTGTGATGAATTGAAAACATCCGACTGAAAAACGGTACAAGATGAAAATTAAATGATACGGAGAGATGTTTTATCTCGGGGTACATGTTATATTATCTGGCACTAGTACTTGTACCAGTTTGCCAATACGATGTAGCGTTATTGATGTTTGATGTTACTACTGTGAACTACATTCACATAATGTACCAGTATATAGATTGAAATTAAGACCCCAATAAATAATGGGAAAGATGATTCTTTTTTTTATTATAGCATTTTAAAAAAAAATAAAGAATTATCTCGGATATAAAATTAGTCTTTTTGGTACACAAAAAAACTTTTTGAGACATAACTACAAGTCATGATAGCAATAGGGGGATCTAAGTTTTCCAGATTAAACGCTGGTTCACCAATTAGTTTTGCAAATATTATTTCCCTATTTCGTGCAGCGGCATCGAACTTACTGGTGTTTGTGAACGCACATGCAAAATTTTAACAAAGATATTTCGTAGCTCTTGTTCAATTTTATTTTAAAATAAATTCAAAATATATATCATAAAGAGATAAGTAAGAAATGATACTGAAAGTGGCTGAGATCGTGTTCATAGAGATTCCTTGGGGCCTTTTTTTATTATTGATGAAAACCGAATAAATTTTATCCTGGCTTCAGTAGACGCAACCTACTGGGAAAGATATGTTGCTTGTTTAAATCCTTTTATGTCACAGTTTACTTAAAACCGATATGGTCATTCGAAATTCAAGCAAAGTTTGTGAGGGGAGAGATACAGTTGAAATGAAACCGCATTTTGTTTCTGTCTTCCTTGCACTGCATAATATTTTGATGTACGGAAATGCACAACGTTTTACTTCTGTAGAAATCTATTTCCGTTTGCCCGGGCTCATGGCACTCTGCAGGAAGTTGTACATATCCGCTATTGCGGAATACTCTTCTGTTTGGCAGTGGAACCCCAAATTCAACTTGCAGCTTCGTTTTCTACAAAACCAAAATAAAACATATGAACTGTGGAATCGTGGGAAATTTATTTATTTCAGCGTCAACATATCTGATCAATTTATCACAGCGTCAACATATCTGATTAATTTATCACAGCGTCAACATATCAGATTATTTATCACAGTGTCAACATATCAGATTATTTATCACAGTGTCAACATATCAGATTATTTATCACAGCGTCAACATATCAGATTATTTATCACAGCGACAACATATCAGATTATTTATTACATTGTCAACATATTAGATTATTTATCACAGTGTCAACATATCAGATTATTTATCACAGTGTCAACATATCAGATTATTTATCACAGCGTCAACATATCAGATTATTTATCACAGTGTCAACATATCAGATTATTTATCACAGTGTCAACATATCAGATTATTTATCACAGCGTCAACATATCAGATTATTTATCACAGCGACAACATATCAGATTATTTATCACAGTGTCAACATATCAGATTATTTATCACAGTGTCAACATATCAGATTATTTATCACAGCGTCAACATATCAGATTATTTATCACAGCGTCAACATATCAGATTATTTATCACAGCGTAAACCTATCATTATTTATCACAGCGTCAACATATCAGATTATTTATCACAGCGTCAACATATCTGATCAATTTATCACAGCGACAACATATCAGAGTATTTATCAGGGCGTCAACATATCAGATTATTTATCACGGCGTTAACATGTCAGATTATTTATCACAGCGTCAACATATCAGATTATTTATCACAGTGTCAACATATCAGATTATTTATCACAGTGTCAACATATCAGATTATTTATCACAGCGTCAACATATCAGATTATTTATCACAGCGTAAACGTATCATTATTTATCACAGCGTCAACATATCAGATTATTTATCACAGCGTCAACATATCTGATCAATTTATCACAGCGACAACATATCAGATTATTTATCACAGTGTCAACATATTAGATTATTTATCACAGCGTCAACATATCAGATTATTTATCACAGTGTCAACATATCAGATTATTTATCACAGCGTCAACATATCAGATTATTTATTATAGCGTCAATACATCAGATAATTTATCACAGTGTCAACATATCAGATTATTTATCACAGCGTCAACATATCAGATTATTTATCACAGTGTCAACATATCAGATTATTTATCACAGCGTCAACATATTATATCACAGTGTCAACATATCAGATTTTTATCACAGATTATTTATCACAGCGTCAACATATCAGATTATTTATCACAGCGTCAACATATCAGATTATTTATCACAGCGTCAACATATTAGATTATTTATCACAGCGTCAACATATCAGATTATTTATCACAGCGTACACATCTCAGATTATTTTATCACAGCGTCAACATATCAGAGTATTTATCAGGGCGTCAACATATCAGATTATTTATCACAGCGTCAGCATATCAGATTATTTATCAGGGCGTCAACATATCATATCAATTTATCACAGCGTCAACATATCAGATTATTTATCAGGGCGTCAACATATCAGATAATTTATCACAGCGTATCAGATTATATCAGATTATTTATATCACAGCGTCAACATATTTATCAGCATATCAGATTATTTATCACAGCGTCAGCATATCAGATTATTTATCACAGCGTCAACATATCAGATTATTTATCACAGCGTCAACATATCAGATTATTTATCACAGCGTCAACATATCAGATTATTTATCATAGCGTCAATACATCAAATCAATTTATCATAGCGTCATCATATCAAATTATTTATCACAGCGTCAACATATCAGATTATTTATCACAGTGTCAACATATCAGATTATTTTACAGGGTGTCAACATATCAGATTATTTAACAGGGCGTCAGCATATCAAATAATTTATGCAACGTGTCATCAGATCAATTGATTCGCACAATACCTTTCATTATGGATAGCGTTGAGAATATCCGTGAGAGTGGACTGCATTCTTCCGATAAGCTCCCTTTTATTGACAATATCGTCCACGTATCTGACAAGAAATGTCAAAAATACAGTTCAGTACAAGCCAGTGTTAAGGTAACTGACATAAATTGGAGTTTAACGCAAAACGATAGTAAATATCACAGGAGGAATAATAATAATAACGTTTTTAGTATTTTTTGCGTAATTATCATTATAAGCTAGTATTGTATCACGAATTTATATGTCAAATGACAAAAATTTCGTAGTTAAATATAAATTTTATTTTTTGAAACAATAATTGCGAAACAAGCTTTCAGTTTATATTAATCACTCTTGTTGACCCGGATGAGATCACGCGCGAGGTCTTACTGAGGCGAGCGTTACCATTGCGCTACCTGGCCACCCAAAATTTCGCAGTTTTTCCAAAATTTTACAGCAAAATGTGTCACTACACGCCCTAGCACCCTTGTATCATCGTCTTTTTCAATTTGTATATCTTTTGCGAATTTATTCCATTTTCGAAAATAACGAGCCCTTCGAAAATTACATCCTAAATAATGTCATATCTACGTACCTTTTCTGTAAAGGGGACAAATCTTTCACGCTTCTTACTGAGCGTTTTCCTGGACTGTTAGGGTTACTGACCACGTCTATGAAACCCTCGATAGGATCTATGTAACCCATGGAACAATCCGTAGCAGAAACAAAACATGAAGGTGCTTCACTGTCAACAGATGGCAAATATAGTCTTATAAATGACAGATATGGATAAAAGAATGACGAAGTTGGATACCTAAGTCCAAATATCATGCATTTTATTTTGTTTTTATATTTAAATGATGTGTTTTTCTTGGAAATCTAAATAGAATGATATATAGAAACTGTCAACTCGGCGTACAGATTTGAAATTATGATATTAGTCTTTTCAACCTACCAGAAAGTATTTATTTATAAAAAAAAATATTGTAAACGAGTTTCATTTGGTGAAATAAATGTTTAGCGCAATATCAAGTTTTTGGCAAATAAGCTCCACCATGAATTAGTGCATCCGTCCTTGTTGCAGTATAGAAAAATACAGAAAATTTGCGAAGTTATATTTCAGTGCAAACCTGTTTACTTTATGTTCGGTCAAACTTACTCGTTTAAGAATTTCTTCAGTCTCCGCACCGCTCGTACCGCATCTACTAACTTTTTGCTGACGTCATCAAGGTTCGACACCAAACTGTAATAACAATTTACAATGTACAATACCAAGGTCGTTACATTACTCAAAACATACAAACTTCAGCAAAAATGGGGCAAAGCCACAATTGGCCGGGTTGCGGGATGAGTGCAATGTTATATGGTATCTATAAGACAGTTAAGGGTGTTTCATTTGTTGAGTATGTAGAATATTTGTTATAAGAGAGAAAGTTTAGTTGTATTTTATGAATTGGTGCAGAAGAAGGGCATTTGAAGAAAGAAGTTGCAGCCATTTTTTATTCAGAGATGTTCAAAAAATAGACAATGGACATCTAGAACCATTCCCTGGCAAACTGCGGAAAATAACTAAGTTCCAAAGCCCGGAAAATCCAGAAAAATCTACGGAATGAATCCATAATAAGAGGTACACATCTTCAACATATATATAAACATCCTACAAAGTTTCAAGCTTCTACGTCAAAAACTCTAGGAGGAGCTGATTCTACAAAACTGGTACCCCTTTTCCCCACCTGCCTGGCCGCCCGACATTCACCATTCACCACCCGGAAAATGAGAAAATTGGATTTCAAATTATTCATAGAAAGGGTTTGTAACCTAAAATAACTTTAGTACGAGTTGACCAGTACGAACAAGAGGTCGAGTATTTGATAAGAGTGGAAACAATTTGTGTAATAAATCAGAGTGTTGGACAAAATTGTACTAACAATTGTAAATATCTGACGGGTTTATAACTAAAGAAAATCAATTAACATAGGGATTTTGTGACTTGAAATCTCCTATATTGAATTGATCTGCTTATATGAGTTATGCTGTAAACCCTTTACTATAAAGGATATATATACATGAGCATTGTAGAAGTAATATGTCGCCAGATGGCGTTGGTAGATAATGGTCACCGCCAGATGGCGTTAATAAGTAACCTTTTTTCCACAAATGTTTGTCAATCATTCCAAATCCTTGATTTGTTCGCTCAATATTTACACGATTTCTCGAGCAGTATCAAACGACACAGAATGTTAATAAAAGATTTAAGACCTCCATTGCTTCAATCATCGGTTAATGTTAACATAATTTGTTCCGTAGAGCCGATCACACATAGCAGCGCCGGAAATTACTACCGTTGAAAAGAACTGAAATGTTCTATAATCTTAGTTCTTTTCTCGTATGTGTGAAAATATCTTTATGTCAAGTTCATTATAAGAAATGTGATCAGCTCTAGAGTGTTACTTAAGATGGTGGTGATTTGATTGAAAGGAACATAAATAAGAAGCGACGGAACTCTGGTTTAATTCAAGTATAATAAACATTGGCTATCATCGCTGTAAACTACATGCCGTATTTTAATTCAATCGAATAGTGATCCGGGTCAAAATATACACATACACTTGCAAATGTCACGCTTAGTATTATTATATAGTCCCGACATGGGCGCCTTTGTGAAGTAGGTCATTATTCACTCGTACCTTGGATAGGAATCGAACCAGGACCTTAGGTTTATTATTACGACACTCAACCGAGAGAGCTAAATAGAGATTCTGTCTAGCCAAGCGTTATGTTGCGGCTAGTATTTTACCAGGGTCATTTACTGGACGTTCTTTTAAGAATTATCACGGATATGAAATTTATTAAATTTACTGAAATCTGGGGATAGCGTATCTCCATATCTAGATTTTGACATTTCTTCCGGTCATTGGATTTTCCTCCGTCACTTCCTTGGTTCAGGTCTTTAGCATCCTAGAGCTCTGCTGTATCTTATCAAAGTTTGTAATAAAAAGGTTCCAATTACTTTGGTGTCTTTTTTTTTTTACAATTTGAGAATAGTTGAATAAAATAGGCGACAAAAGATGAAAATAGTCATAATAATGGTAGACCATGTAATTTAAAGCAGTTATCAATATTTACAAAATAGATGCTATCAAAGATCTAATATCAGCTGGTGACACTGCATATCCTACTGCTTTTAACGGTACAATAACACACCAGTAATTATTGAATATATACTATGCTGTCCTAGTAGATATTAGTCATACAATGATGATGAAAGTAGTTACTACACAAAAATGTTCTTTGTACTAATTGATTATAATAAAATATCTTATGTAACTATTGATGATACAAAAATGTCTTTTGTAGTTATTGATGACACAAAAATGTCTTTTGTAGTTATTGATGATACAAAAATGTCTTTTGTAGTTATTGATAATACAAAATGTCTTTTGTAGTTATTGATGATACAAACTTATCTTTTGTAGTTATTGATAATACAAAATGTCTTTTGTAGTTATTGATAATACAAAAATACCATGTAATTTTATGGATGATGCAGAAAAATATCTTGTAATTAGTTATGATATCAAAATCCTTTATTTAGAAGTAAGTACTACTTCTCAATAAAAAAAATGTAGTGATGTTATAAAGATCAACAAACTAGCTTATAAATAAAAATAAAAAAAAACGTTATTACTTACCTTACAATGTCGTCAGATGAGTTTAATAATCTAAAATCATTTTAATATTTTAAGCCTACCAAAAGAACATTGTAACTGTTACCAGGCAATGCGATCCAATAACAAGATTCAAAGTGACACATACTCTTTCATAAATATTTTCTCCTTGTTTCGATTTCAAAGTGATTTTAAATAACAACAGATATACGTATCTCTGAGGTAAGTACTCTGTCACATTAGCCAGGAAAATAACAAGTAAGATCAACAGACATGACCAACAAAAATAGTGTTAATGACGTACAGTTACGTTCACAGTGACAAGGCGGATGTACTTTGTCAATATCATTCACATAACTGAACAAAAGGTCGTTTTGTCGATTTCGTTAGAACATCTCACATTTCTATGTCCAATTGTGCACGTGTTGTATACAGAGTTTGTCTGGCTAAGGTGACGAAAGGTATTTTGAACCTGATGGCGAGAGTTACTTTGTACCAGTGGCGTTAAGGTCATACCGGAGTAATCAGTTATTTTCAGAGAAAATGGGATAACTCAGGTAATATTCGAGGCTTGTAATATCTCTCGTCAATTTCAACACAGAAATAATTTCCCATCGATTGCCCATTCAATTCGATTTCGAAATTCGGGAATTAAGTTCTGTGGAAAAGAGAGCTGATTTACCGTATTTCATAGACTCTGACTTCTATTACGTTCAGGATTGAAAAAAAATTACATTTCAAATTCTTTTTTAGCTTTAAATGTATATGTAGATCATTTTCGTGATGAAACTAAATGCTTGATGCAAAAAGGGTGTGTTTTACGTAATGGGCTACGACAGTTTTTTAGCTTCGCAGATTATACTACTTCTGAATAACATTAATTTACTAAAAAGAAATTGTATTTTGGAGTTTTTTGCACACAAATTTGAAATTTTCATCTTTTTAAGCAATTTCTGAAGCAATGTTTGCTACGGTTTAAATCGAAACTACGAAGCCATATTCAAATGACCTAAAACGGCTCAATACCATACAATTTTCACAAATGACAGTTCGTATTTCTTACATACACCAGTTCTTGGCGTCTCGTTCAAATGGCCGCCTGTTTTAGTTATTGATTACTTTATTCTCTCGTTTTTTTATCCTGATATGGTGATTCCAGTATCATTTTCCGAACAATTTCCAACTTTCAAGATAATATGTCCATACGACACTGGTGCATCAAATCGCAAAGAAGTTCATACAACAAAATAAATGTCAACGAAACTTCCGAAAAGATAGACCTTGATTAACTCTGATATTTATTCCATATAAAGTTTCGAAGAGGACAGAAACCAAACATTCTTCTGTAAAGATTTTTTTCTTCCTAAATACAATATACATGATGCATGGTTATGAAGATTCTTTAGGGAATTGCATGTAATTTTTGACCTTGTCTTCAGTGTGCTTAAAATATGGTCAGGACATTCTGAAAATTTTAAAAATCCTTTATTCTGTATATGATAAAAAATAATGATCAGGTTACTGGTTGATTGCTTGTGACAAATCTTCGTATGATAGTTTTTTACTTACGTTTGTGTGCCCGTATGAATATCCTGAGCTTGGGCGGATGCAAACAGACCCAGAAATGAGGCAAAAATAAGACAAGCGCATGCGTCAACCATTCTAGTGTAAGCGTTCCGTAAAAAGTACAATCTGTAAAATATGACAACACAAACATTAGGAATATTTATCGAATGCTTAATTAGATAATGATGAAGTTATATTTTACAGGAACAATACCATGTTATCAACAGGCCAATGAAATGTAATAACTGTTTTAATAGACGTTTTTTTATTTCTATAATACGCCTCGTATTAATATACGAACTGATAAATTATTAAAGCATGTTGCTTAGTTTTAAAGAAATATTGATAGAAGTTTATACTCTGTGGAAAATATATGTTAATTCCATTTGAAATGATTTGAATTATTGTGATAGAGAATCAATACTTAAGGTCTTTTGTTCTTCTATAAGAAGTGATAAAATCCTTCGATTTCTCATACTTATATACATAGATAAAACTTGTCTATGCAGAAGACAGACATGTGATAACTCCTTTTCCTTAAATTAAGAATTACCTAACAACGTATTCAACATTATTATACAGCTGATCTGATAAATGAACAATAAATTGTTGAACCCTGGGAGGGAAATTAAAAACGATCGAAAATGATATCAACAAGATGTAGATTTATAACACCGTTCTATACAAACTTAGCTTTAGATCACGTGATAGTCAAAAAAAAGAAATTAAATCGTACAACCCCACCCCCACCCCCCCCCCCCCCCCCCCCCCCCCCCCCCCCCCCCCCCCCCCCCCCCCCCCAATAAAAAAAAAACAAAAAAACGAAAAACAAACAAAAAACCTAAACAAAACAAAACATCAGCTTAAGAGGACATGTTCATAAGAATATTTCCGTTACATATTTTTAATGAAAGTTGACGATTCATACGAATGTTAAAATTTCATATTATACAAATACCCCAAAAATGTGATTAAATTACAAATGTTAGTATAGCGACCACCTTTGTGTGACGTCATGTCGTTTTGCAATTGGATATTTTTCAATGTAATGTAAGATATTGATCTATCAAAGTCATTGACTAAAGAAAGAAAATATGATTCGAGCTACCACTTTAGACTAGTGTTAGATGTTACAAATACACCTCATAAGATAGCCGAAAGAAAACATATGTTAATAAACAGAAAAATGACTTATCAAATCATACACATCTTACCCTTAAATACAGTTACAATACAAAACTTCGAGCGGAAGATATTATCTCGCGTATATATTAAATTTACAAGGAATACCTTGTTAAAGACGGGAAGTTCGTCAATACACAGTATCGACTTTTTTGTGTGTTTGAATAAACGTGTTCCATGAAACCAGAAAGCAATCGAGTGTAACTGGCTGTCCTGAGTTAGATTTAGTTATACAGGCGGGGTTGCTAGCGTAAACTGTATGTCCTTATTTTTGAGAATGTTCTTGTTGGCGTAAAATACTCGCTTTCCATTGTTGTTGTATGTACATTGGCAGCACAAAAGGTATAGACTTCTCCCTGGCTGTGTATTCACGAAATTAGCCGTAAAAAGTGCAGAAGGGTTTGTGGTGTGTGATGTCTGGTCAGGCGAAATGATAGGGAAAGTGATATAGTTGTTAGTCAGACAGCAAGGCCTCGCACATGTTTGCATTGCATCATTGTATAGTATAGGAAACTGCTACTCATAGAAATTACTTAAAAGAAATAAAGCCTTTCTCTCTCTCTCCCCCCCCCCCCCCCCCCCCCCCTCTCTCTCTCTCTCTCTCTCTCTCTCTCTCTCTCTCTCTCTCTCTCTCTCTCTCTCTCTCTCTCTCTGTGTGTGTGTCTCTCTCTGTGTCTCTGTCTGTATGTCTCTCTGTCTGTATGTCTCTGTCTGTCTGTCTGTCTGTCTCGTTTATCTCCATCAGCCCTTCTTTAGTTATTTGTAAACATATTTGGTTAAATGTAAAATCATTATATTTCGTTTAATATGCGAGTACTTTTAATTCACGAATATGCATATCCGTGAAAAAAAAAGCTACTTTTCATCCTTGAAATCATGTGCTCACGAACATCTATTTGTACTTTCACCCCAACGAAAACATTTTTTTTTTGACAATATGTAATTTTGGCCATAAAAATGTCAAATAGTGATAAAAATGATGTAAGTTCATGTTTGATATTCAGTGTGCGTCTGAATGCATTGACTTGATTATATTTGGATTCATATTGTACAATAGACATTATTTTTATATCTTGTCATTTATATTCAACATCGTTATTCATCCTTACAATCATGTTTATATTTCCATTCGACTATTACGCAAAAAGACACAACTGCATCACGCAGGTGTTTCGTCCTTCCACGACTCGTCCGTGATCAAAGATCCTGGGAGCGTGTATTAGGGAAAGTAATGAGAGAGGAGGACCCAAGCTAATCAAAATACATGTTAAAAAAAGGACACAAAAATGAATGGCAAGGTAACCAAAAACAACCTTTAATACTGAATAATTCTAAATTTGTGTTAATTGTGTGTTATTTTTGCACATGCCTGTCGTTTTTACTATCTTCTAATAAACACTAAGTTTATATGTGCATTCCATACGATTTTATTTTTGTTTAAATTGTGATTAAATTTTTGATTCAATAGGTTTTCATTTATGCACTGGAACTGGAGTACAAACTATTTGCAACGAGCTTTAAACATATGTCTTTTCGTACTTCGCTGATTTTTCTTAATACCACGACTTGAGAATGTTTGAGTAAGGGAGTAACAGTTCTCTCAATATATACACTTAGCAGAAATTGGTTTTCATTCTAAGCTATCATTACTACAGGCAAATTTAGATATCACAATGACAAAGTGTCGAGGTTTGCCTTGAAAAGCCTATCATTAATGCTAACACTCTCTTGGACTGACCGCGACAAATACTACACTACTTAACAATGTGTGATTTTAAACATTTCTCTCAATAAAAGGACACATTGAATGGTATTGTTTCTAAAAGCAAGACGTTCAATGGCGCCATGTTATCTATGTTTTATAGACTACTGCGGGAAATCGATCGAATTCTTATTTTGTCGTCGGTAATGTTTCTTTTATTTCGAAGTACAGAGAAATGACCAGCATTGTTTTTTTGTTGTTTTTTTTTTTTTTTTTTTGGATTTTTTTTTTTTTTTTTGGTGTTGGGGGGGGGGGGGGGGGGGGGGGGAGGGGGTTTATGAATGTATCTGTAAAGCTGAAGTCGACGAATTCCGACGTCAAAGTATTGGCAATTTAATTTAAAACTCATGCATGTTCTGTTGTAAATCTTAATGAGCATTAACTGTAATACTGGTTCTGTCCTTAATAGTTTTCATCCTAGTAATAGTCTCAATCACGAAGTGTTTGTAGCTTATGAATCCCAATCCGATTCAGCAGAGAAATAAAATTCTGTCTTAAAAATCTTATTCGTAGTTCATACATGAATGGCCACTGAAGACGCATAACTGTAGAAACACACGAGCATCGAAGCTGTAACATCAGATTATGATAACAATCAATCATTGTCAAATTGCTTTATTGTTTATAATATACTGCATAATCAGTTATATTCGCGGTGATTAGCTATTTCGCGATACATTGACATGACCGCAAAATATAATCCTTGACATAATGAGACAAGGGCGTGTTAAACGTCTTTTCACATCCAGATCGCGAAATATTAATTCGTTAAAATATTATTCGTTCGTTTTGAAAGAAAATCTTTACCCGTAAAATTATTAGATATGCGGCAATGTACAAGGACGTACTTTCGTCATATCCTTTTGTTTTGCTGAAAATCAGTTAACCCATTGTTGTTTATCGATGTTAACAGCCAGGGGCATTTAAAGTGTTGGAAAGCCTGAGTTCGTGGATACAAACCACCGACCTGTAGTCAGTACCTGTCGAATATCCAAAGGACCTGCTAGTGCTAAAGTACTAGTGTTATTCTTATTACATTCTTAACGGCAACACATCAAGGGTTATTAGGACCACAAACCGGTGAAGGACACCGCTATCCAAAAAGGAAAAACATCAAACAAACCAAAAGGTAAAAGACAAATGATCCGAGGAGCAGGGTTCGATTCTCTCTACCCAAAGTGGATTGTGTTTCTCAGGAAACTGAGAAAAAAAAACAATACACCTTATACTTAGTGTTCGGCTAGAATTCGACGCGCAACCTGTTGTTTGTAAAGGTTAAGATCCGGTGAATTTTGAAAAAATAGTTGTTTAACATTTTAGTTGATTTATATCAAATAATAAAAATCTTTACATATGTACAGTTTAGTCAAATCAAAGGTCAACATTTGATAACTAACCACAACCAGGGCATTGAATCCGGGACGCCACTAGAAAACCAGTGTAATTACAAAGCATAAACAACACGTTCTATGACGTGTTAATAACCTCGTAAACCACCTTAACTGAACCGGTGTTATTGGTACTTAAATGGTTATATCGGGGCAACAACATTGCAGGTATGGAAACAGGTCAAAACGATGATCATAAAATCTTCTTCTCTTGATAGGCTGCCCTTCATTATATTGGTTTTATATGCATTTATTGATTCTAGATCTGTCAATGAAAACAGAAAGCTGTATGGAAATTCTCGGCATCGTGGGATCAGTTGATGCGAAAAGGTGACGTAGACCAATTTCTATGACAAGGGAAAGACTGTTGTACACTTTTATACAAAGTACACGAGCTAATTTTATTTTCTATTAAGATGTATGCTATATGTCTTGAAAGTGTATCATTTTCCGTATTTGTAGTATGCAAATGAACAAATACGTCATGAATACATGAATACTAATCAGTAAACCATTAAGCGACTGACATCAAGAAAACGTGAATCAGAGTAAGTATCTAGTTGTAAGTAAAATAAATGCTATCGATTCACGTGTTTCGGTTCCATCAAGTACTTTGAGTTCACGGCTAAGAATTATAACCTTTGTTGTCACACCGATGTGCAATCATTCGGATTCCATTCTACACAATTTTACAATTTGCATACGTAAATTCGATATTTGTCTTATTTAAAGTTAATCTGCATTACAAAAAAGATTTTCTCATCCTTAAATCCTTAAAAATATTATTCTATACTATGCTGTATATAACTTGTGATGTGCTCTCTTTATCACAAGACCTTATAAACCAGAAAAGTATAGAAAAAATCGCGAGAAAAAGATGTTCTGGCTTAGCTGTGTATTTTACATTAAAACCTATTTACATATATTTAGGAATACCACAATACTGTGGATGGTGTAAGTCTAGGATTAATCAATCTAAGTTGTTCACAGAATTCAAAGAAAAAGTAAAATATCTAAGGTAAGGGAATCCAACAATTGTACAGGGAAACTAGGATACGAAGTCACATTTGAAATATAACATTTTGATCATGAATCATGTTGGTCAATCCAATGCTTTTAAAATGTTATAACTAAGGTACAAAAACTAGCATTGGACAACTGAGAAGTTTACCTTGTGCCTTCATACAAGTTCACATTTCATAAACAGAAATAAAAATTATATGTTTCTTACAAACAAACTCTTACCTCATAGTTAAGAATACGTCTTGGTAACTTCTTCAGCGTGCTAATTAGTGCAGGTCGCAATTAAGGAAATATAGAGATCGGTCACCAATAGTCCTCTTTACACTTAAGTTTAGTTAACACAGGGAATCCGGTGATATGATTGGCTATGATGTTTTTGATTCTTGATATTACACAATGGACAGCAATGTCTAGGAGATTTTTGAAATGTTCTACTCTAAACTTTGACTAAATTTCCAATTCATATTATAGAATATGTGACTGATGAAATTCATGTTGCTCAATCCACTGCATTTTCTAAAGAAGTGATATACATATAAAAAAAAGATATATCTAAAACTGATACTTATTCAACGTATAAGACTTCAAAATTCAACTTCATGTGTTTCTGAGGTCTAGCTTATATATGAAGTGTTTTTGGTATCAGGACCTGTCCTAAATACTCTGACAAGCCCACTCATAATCTGTGCCACAACAGCTCTAAAAATAGGAACGTACGCCAACGACTATTTTTGGTACTTTGTAATCAAATATTGTGATATCCCTCCCAAATACCTTTTCCATTCTCGGGTATCTATACTTGTATATGTCACAGTACTTGTTAAGGTGGACCAAACTACTGATATGGCGAATGAAATATTTCTTCCGGCGCGGAATCAGTGCCGTCAATCTATCTAAACACTTGAGAGATATTTAGAAGTTTAAGCGTAGAAATCATGGTGTATACTATAAATGATGGTTTGTTTGTGACCTTGTTTATGAACCACCTTTCCGCGGTAAGGTAACCGATCCCTTCGGATATCGTCACTCGATAACAGATCACGTTTCAAATCACGTATTTTTAACGAGGGTCACGCATTCCGTGAGCATGCGCATGAAAGGTCAAACTGACCAAACTAATAGAATTGATCTATTTATAGCATTTTACAGCATAAATGACGATCGTGGGAATTGTAACATTGGTAGATAATGAAGACCGACTTAATCGTATGAAGACAAAGATTTTGAGAGAAATATCGGTTATGAAAAGAAATGATAATAACAGGAAATAACATACCTAATTATAGTTTATAAATCCCGATGATACTAAACAATATTAACATCGATCAGTATAGCTCACCTGTATCTGACTTGTTCTAGTGTTTTAAAACAAAAAATGCCCTAAACTACTTTATTTTGTAAAAAGAAATAAAAGAAAGATTTATTTCTTTAACTACACAAAAGCTTCATCGCAAATTCAGTTGTTTTATATATGCATATTAAAAACATATTTTTAATTTTCCAGAAGTATCAAAACTGCATCCAGAAGTATTTAACAGCAACCATACATACTCCACTGACGGTAAGATAGACGTTTAGATGAAATGTCGTAGTTTACATTTACTGACATTCCTTTTCATTGCCTGTTGGATCGTTATGACAAATAAGGGGATAAAACACCAGCATAATAAAGATCAGGACATGTTTAGGCAATGTTACCCTTGTGATGATAAGAGGAATCTACATTCGTGACTTATTTTAAAGTTAAAACTAATTTATTTTGTTGTGGACGTGAATCAGCAATATATTCTTACAAGAAATCTATTTGTTTACGAAAAATGTGTTTTATTTTGTTATCTTTTTCCAGGTAAAGAAAAATCGCTGTTGATAAGATTTTGCTTACATATTAATCGTTTCAGAAAACCGAAAAAAGTAAATTCACAATTAATCAGATTTTACATATATATGTCTCATCTCAGAAAAAAAACTAATGCAGGTAATCTTAATTACGAATCATTCTCTTCCCGTATAAACGCAAAAATAAATCTCTTTCAAAAGCAAATTTAATTACAACCTCCAGTGCACGAACAGACTTATTCAATATCAATAGATCGAACACTCGTTAATTCCATTGGTAATCATTAGTTTTCGTTTCTTACAAAAAACCAACCTTAAAAGTGTGAATCTTTTAGTCTTTCACATTGTTATGTAACAAGTCACGTTTTATATAAATTGAATAGAGTGGATATTGCATGGCAATATATGTTTTTCGTGATATTATAATATATTCACATTTTTTTTCAAATATCAGGTCTTCTTAAGTTGTAAGTTGAGTTTATGTCAATTGTTATTTATACAGGAGGCTAAAGAAACAAAGAAAATACTGACATGTTAATAGAATCTCAATTCAAACACAAATTCGATAAAAAAAGAAAAAAAAAATTAACAGAACAGATCACTAGTACTTAAGTCCTATGTGTTCCAGAAGGGCACGTAAAAGAACATTGCCATGTAAATCTATAGTCAGTTCGGCGATCTAAACCAGAGCTAAAACCATATATACTGTATAAATGTCTTCGCGTGCTTTTTTTTCATTGTACACCCTGTCTGCGATAAAGTAAAAGCTAAAGTATATAGCTTGACATACCTTGAATCGTTAGTGCCTTTCTTTAGTTGTTTCAATTCGCAAAATGTAATGCCTATATATTATTTTTTTATGTAAAATCCACGAAGTTTGAGTACCGGGAAAAATGTACAGGGCTTAAGTAACTCCAAATTGATATTGAGCGTAGGAATGACCATTCATTGCTGAATGTTCTCTTCTGTTTCATTTTCAGCATTAAGATATATTGATAAATGATATATCATGTTGAAATGAGATTGAGATGCCCTCTTACACGGTAAGGTAACAACACTGTAGTGTTATCAGTTGCTGCCATTCTTCAGTTATAAAATAACAATGATCGAACTTTATGGTGACATCGGTAGGATGTTAGCAGTTAACATTTCTTTTGGTAAATCTTGTGGGGGAAATGTGTGTTTGGCCATTTTGAGAAATGATCGGAAACAAAAAATTGTTTTTTCTTTTTTATTTTAAAGTGGAAATACTAAAATAACTATAGAAATACTGTAGATCTATATGATAATAAAACTGGACGAACATGTTAACTTCCCAGTGTTCTAAAGCAATTTAACATCAAGAGTTCAGCTATCATTTTTTTTCTCCTGATTTTCACGGCACGGAAGTCATGACTTTGACTATGGCTCCATTCTTATTTTTTTCTTTCATTTTAGAAAATAACTTTTGCTGTAAGTTTTACATGTTACAGTTGGTAATGTAACAGTTTGTACATTTTTATCATTAGTACGGGCATTTACCATAATTTACAATCTAATAAATATAAACATATTTATAAACACTCCAATACAAAATAAAAAGTTAAACGTTAAAAAAATACTTTTCATATTCGACCTTACAAACGTAACATTTTGACATTAACTTGTACATCTACATTTCAATTAATATTAATATCAATATGTATAGTCTTAGTGTTCTTATACATTTTAGAATACTGTTATTAAAGTACTTCACATAAAATGTTTCGGTTAATAGAACATTGTTAATAACCGATATACATATTAAGGAGCTTAGTAGTATTGGTGATGTACTTTTACATGATTACCAATATATTTATGTCACGCTGTGATATCAAACATGATTAGATTTTTCTTTCCAGAGTCTTGGTATTTATATACTGATCAATTAGTAGAGATATGTATAAATGCAGCAAAATACTATGTAACGTTTACTGACCCTAAATAAGTAAAGTGCTCGTGACATCACTACCATTTTTACATTTCAATTTTACATAGGACACTCTCGTCATTCACAGCAGGTCTTAAAACCTCATTTATACCTTAACAGAAACCAAAGTACCAACGACATCGGATTATCCGCAACAACGTCTTAATGAGGAACTGCTATTAAGCAGCTTGATTAATTAAACTCTTTTATTACGCTGTGCAGGAACCATTTTTCTGTTATTAAATTTAATTTGCTTCTATAGTTGTTTCCTGATCACTCAACTTTTGCGTAAGATCAAACGTATTTCCCTCTCTACCGAACTCCTATTACTATGGTGATTATAGTAATCTGGATAAGGAAGAGGATTTGGATAAAAGTGTGCGTACCAAGAATAAGTTTCGATTTTTGGGGGGTGAGAGAGTACACAGTAATGAGGGCAGGAAGTTTAGGTTGAAGTTTGGGATTTGGGTGTGGGTTGTGACGATGTGGAGAAAATATCACAAAATTATTGACATGTCAATAAAGTCTGAATTCAAACACAAGATCGATAAAACGCGAGTAAAACACCAATAAATGAAAGACATAAACAACGATTTAAAGAAAAGTACAAAGAGAGTAAGACCATGTCGATCTTGGTCAATCCAAGTAAGTAATGTTATATTCGCACATATGAGACCGGACTAAACAAAATAGGAACCATCATGCATAGCAACTTATACTATGAAACATATTTAATTGCGTATAACACAAGCAACTCAGTGATATGATGAGCTTGATGTTAAGATATGGCGATTTCAGATATTTGATGTAGCTTGGATGAGAGGCGAGAATGATTGCAATATAGGTATTCCAGAGATGTCCAAATAGCAAGGGGAAAGATGATGTTTGTGGAAATGTTAAAAGGTTAAAAAGAAGGAAGAAAGTGGACAGTCATTGACGAACGGGAATACAAAGTGGACTGGGAGGGCAAAGCTTGCAAAGACAGAATAGCAAGGATGTTTTAAACAAAAGGATGAATGTGATAGGAAGGGTGGTATAGTGTAAGAATATGGATAATGATTTGGAGTGAGGGTTATTTGTTTTCTCTAGTTTCCATAAGCTACAAAGACACTAACGATGTGTCTACAGATTCTTAATTCTAACTATGTCTCGCTGAAACTAGGGGGAGACATGAACAATGTATAAATTTATACACGAAATTGCCAAACTCGAAAATCTAAATGTATATATGTGTTTCAACAAGCTCCATTCTAGTTTTTTATATATTTTGCTACTTAGCTATATCATAATACTTATTTCGATGATAACTATATGCACATTAATAACACAAATTCACGACGTCCACATTCATCAACAGTATTTGGCACCTTCAGTCACATATGTACAGTTGTAACATTCACGACTGACATGTAATTTGTTTTTTCTCTTTCACTCAAAAAATAC